CATTCAACGATTCGCTCAATTCAAGGGTCGGAACAAAAGTTCGCAAAAGAGAAGGAATGAAATACACAATTAAACAAAGCAAACGAGAAATTTTCTTCAAGAGACTAATTGTGTTCCGTTATTCTCGGTAGAAATTCATGTTCCGCCAACACGGTCGCGCAATTAAATTTTCAAACATACTAATGTGTGTATGATTTCGTAGCGAAATACGGGCTTGATTAATTCTTTACTAGCTTTTTACGAACAAACATTAAGTTTTATGTTTTCGCTCTACATCGTATTGCTTGGAACGTAATGAAAATTTACATATTTCAGCTATGTTAATGGCATTATCTACCTCGTGGTGTCCAAATGAACTTACCCCCTTGATCGTTAATTCGTTTTCATATACGAGGTCACAATCAGTGATATATTTATAGAGGAATAGTAATAAACTCCCACTTTGGAAGTACACATTTGTTAAAACACAATAGAACTATTATTTTTATGTACCTAAAAACTATATTCAAAACCACAAATATGAATGAAAAAACCAATTATGATCATTAAAATACATTTTTAACGCCAAGACGCAATCAGTATTTTGGGCGCGTTCCAGTTGTAGATACCTTAGAAGTACTTGTTTGTTAAAATACAAATAAATATCATTTCTATGTAAGAATAACTATATTATTACCACAAATGTGTATCAAATTAACAACTACGATCATAAAAATACGTTTTTAACGCCAAGACGCAAACGATCAGTGTTTTGGGCGAGTTCCAGGTGTACCTTAGAAGTACTTGTTTGTTAAAATACAAATAAATAACATTTTTATATAAGAATAACTATATTATTATCACAAATGTGTATCAAATAAACAACTTCGATCATAAAAATACATTTTTAACGCCAAGACGCAAACAATCAGTGTTTTGGGTGAGTTCCAGTTGTACCTTAGAAGTACTTGTTTGTTAAAATACAAAATAATATCACTGTTCTATACTCTACAATTATTTTCAAAAGTACGAATATGGTTTAAAAAATATTGAAAAATTTCAACTGAATGCGTCAATGAAGTTTTGAAATAATTGGGCATTTCAATAAACACCCACTATAGAAGTACTCGTCTGTAAATACACCGTAAAAGTATTATTCTATGATGAAGAAAACAGAATGGAAACATTCTATGTTTTTTACCACTTTTATTTGTATTTGACGTTGATCCAGTTTCGTTCTATACTTATACAAACTTATACATTGAACTACATTACATTACATCAAAGGACATTTTCAAACTTACACATTAGTTGAAATACAATAAAACTATTATTTGTATGTACTCAATAACTATATTCAAAACTACAAATATGAATTATGATTTGGAAAAACACATTTTTGACGCTATGACGCAGGTAAAATACTTGATTGGAACGTTATCTAAGATTCACTATCCAATTTCACACATGGAGATTACTCAGATATTAAATGATTCATGAATTTCCAAACGATCAGATGAGTATTTTAATAAACCCCCACTTTGGAAGTACTTATTAGTTAAAATATAATAACACTATTACTTTNTGCGCAAGATAATAATAACTTTCCAAATTTTACACATAAAGATTACTCAGGTATGAAATAATTTTTGTATGGAAGTACTCCTATGTTGAAATACAATAAAACTATTATTTGTATGTACTCAATAACTATATTCAAAACTACAAATATGAATTATGATTTGAAAAAACACACTTTTGACGCTATGACGCAGGTAAAACACTTGATTGGAACGTTATGTTAGATTCATTATCCAATTTCACACATGAAGATTACTCAGGTATAAAATGATTCATGAATTTCCAAACGATCAGATGAGTATTTTAATAAACCCCCACTTTGGAATTACTTATTAGTTAAAATATAATAAAACTATTATTTTCATGTACATTTGAAACCACAAATATGAGACAAATAAACAACTTTGTTTCTAAAAATACATTTTTGACGCTATGACGCAAACAATTAGTGTTATGGGTGAGTTCCATGCCGGCATAAATCCAATTGTAGCTTAATCGATACTCTTGACCGCTCTTGTTTTAAAAGAAATCTGTTTGAAATCTGTTTCTCCGTTAATCAGCTGTCGCCCCTATACGAACAACAACTCTCAGGAGTTGAGAAACTTGTGCGAGCTAAGTGTTCTGGCGAAGGCAGGTTTTTCTGCAGCTGGAAAAGCAAATGAGGCACTGGAACCAATGAAGTCGCCCCGGAGCGCCAATCAATTCATGTTGTCGTTCCATAATTTCATAAGTTGATATTCTATATAGATGGATTTATAATTAGTCGGACATTTTAATAAACTCACACTTTGGAAGTACGTATTAGTTAAAATAAGACGAATATGTTCATGTACTTAACCATATTTTCATAAGTTGACATTCTAAATGAATAAACTTATAATCAGGCGGACATTTTAATGAACTCACACTTCGGAAGTACTTATTACTTAAAATTAAACGAATATGTTTATGTACTTGACAATTATTTAAATTATTAAAATAAACATTGAATGAAGTTTTAAAATAAGTGGGTATAATATTAAACTCACACTATTGGGAGAGTCTGTAAAATTACTGTAAACGCAGCATTCCTATGCACTGAATAACTTAATGCTGCTACAAATCCAATTGTCAACCATTGAAATGATGAATTGGCACTCCCATTCCTGGAGTGAATCTGGATCTTTCGAATCTCCTTCTATTCCTCGGCGGAAATTGATAGTCGACTACCCTGTTGCCGTTGTAGACCCCATTGGTGTTTTTCGGGTATTGCCACCTCCCGTGGTCATGGAAATGTTGTACTTCCAGTCCTGGGGGGAACCTGGACTCATCAAACTTCCTCCGCTTTCTCAGTGGGAGAGAGACATCATTGNTTTCCTGCAGCTGAAAAAGCAAATACGCCAGTGTTTTCACAATTTTATGAATTGAAATTTCATATGAATGGCCATAATCAGACAGATATTTCAATAAACACCACTTTGGAAGTACTTATTAGTTAAAATAAAAAATTAAAATAAAATTATATACTTAACAATTTTATTCAAAATGAAATAAAATAAACATGTTTAATCATTGAAAAATTTCAACATGCGTATTATTCTCACGTACACAATAACATAATGCCGGTATAAATCCAATTGTCAACCATAGAAAGGTTGATCTGGTGCTGCCATTCTGGACTTATCGAACTTTCTCTGCTTTCTCGGTGGGAGACTGTCATTATGAAATTGATTAGGAACAGAACAGTTTCCTTTCGCCCTGTAACCATTGTGAAACACAGGGGTGTTTTTCCTAAACTGCCAAGTACCATTATCATTGTAGCGCCTTGAGTCACTGTAATTGTAACGATTCATCCTTGGGTCAGTGCGGTTCTTTAATGCGAGTCTTGGGGCATAGCCGTTGAAAAATTGAGGCCTTGGATCACTAAGGTTAGCAGATTTGAGCCTTCGATCGGGCACCACCAGAGAACACTGATTAATTTTTGTGCCGATAACTATTTGTGGTTCTCCTACTGAGGTGGTTCCTGGTGCTCTTCTCAACTCTCTTCTTTCCATTATTTTTTCGGCTTCAGAGATGAGACGTTTTGCCGTTGCAGCCAGCAATTCTTCTCCCATGGCCGGACGCATTTCTTTGATAAGGTCAGTCGTATACTGCGTTATATCAACAATGTCACTACTTTCATCTTTACTCATCTTGTCAATGATTATCACTCACTAGCAGAAACGAGAATATGAATACCTACCGAAATCTCCAATATATAAACAAATACAGGTATAATACAGGTATATATGGAATTCAGGTAAAATGATTGATTGAAATGTTGTATCAAATCATATTCACTTTCCAAAATATGAATCATGATTTGGGAAAATACATTTTTGACGCTATAATGCAACCAAATGAGATAAAATACTTGATTGGAACGTTGTGTAAGATCATATTCATTTTTCAAATTTTTCACATGAAGATTACTCAGGTGTGAAATAATTCTTGGATTTCTGCACAATCGAATAGATATTTCAATAAACTCACACTATAGAAGTACTTGTATGGTAAAATATAATGAAACTATCATTTTTATATGTGTTTAATAACTATATTCAAAACAACAAATATGAATTCTGTGAAACATGTTTTTCCTTACGAATCTGAAAATCTTGCGAAAAAAATTAGAATAGATAATTTAGGAAACACTTACATGAATAGCATTTTACAAGTTTTTCACTCGTTAAGACAATAAGAGGATTGTTCCGAATTCTTGAGGTTCTTGTTGAATACTCATCGTGAGCAAAAAATAGCAGAAACAATACTTCTACTTCTACACATTATTCCTTTTGACTAGAAACCCCATTAGATTACAGATCAGTGAGATAAGCTACGACGTTCCTAAGAAAAACTAAGTTCTGATCATCCTTCAACATGTTGAACTGCAAAAAACTCCAAAAAACCTCTCCCTCTCTCTCTTCCTCTCTATTTTCTATGACCATTGCTTCTCATTCGAGTGCATTTGGCCAGGCTCCTCCTGTTCATAGTGAACAGAAGCTTCGTCCGAGGGCGCAGCTGTCTGACTCGAGGCAATGCTGCCACCCTAAGTTTTTCATTCACTTCTTTTTTGAACAAAAACACTTCATTTTTTACTTGTCGCCTCCTTCTCGGCAGACTTTTGGATAAAAATAACACAAATACACACGTTCATATATTTTGACATCCAGCCTGGTTACTGGCGTGGGGGGCTGCCAGTCCTCTTATATTTCACTTCAATGCTTATTCAAACATAACTTCATTTAAGATTACATCTTTTAGACTTCACACCGACCACAACATTCACGTGCAGACTTTGGGGGTGGTCGTTAGCACAACCGTCCTCTGTCGCGATCGGAGAGGAAGTTCCAATTAACTAACTTATACTCTTAACACTCCATTACAACAATGAAAAATCATATAAAAACCACTCTGAAATGACCAACATATGTCAAGATGTACGTCAAAGTTTGTACGAAAAAATGTCAATATGATTTTTAAGTGTCTAATATTGAACCTCCTTTGGAAGTATACATTTTCGGAATACACATTCGATATTAAATATTCAGATGTGCCCGTCGATCACTTCACAATACAAAACAAAACTTTCAAATTGAGATACCTGATAAACGGCGATTATCACGTGAAGGGTGGACCCGTATTTCTTTACACCGGCAATGAAGGAAATATTTTCATGTTTGCCCAAAACACGGGCTTCATGTTCGATATTGCACCAGTTTTCAACGCCCTCGTAGTGTTTATCGAACATCGGTATTACGGGGAGTCCCTGCCATTTGGAAACCAGTCGAACACCCCGGAAAACCTAAGATTTCTAACCAGCTCCCAAGCACTAGCGGATTATGTCCATGTTATCGAGGAGTTGAGAAAAACCTACTTTGCTACAATTCTCACCAACGACACTCTTCCAGTTGTATCGTTCGGCGGATCATACGGAGGTATGTTGGCGGCGTGGCTGAGGATGAAGTATCCCACGTCAGTGATCGGTGCGATAGCTTCTTCAGCTCCGATTTGGTATTTTCGAAATATGATACCGTGTGAGAAGTTTTATGAGATCGTCACCGGCGTATTCGAGAAGTTTGGAACTGCACAGTGCACTAATATTATCAAAGCTTCATGGGAAATCCTCAGGAACGTCACCAAAACAAATTCAGGTATTTGTGATGCACTGTTTGAAACCTTTGGTGTAGTAATGAATATTACTAGAGTTCTATTCCAACACCAAACCTTTTCTTTTAACACCTTGACACGTGTTTCAATCACCAAGTGATCATCTTCAAGAGGAGTATTAAAACTATTTTAATCTTTTTCTTGAAGATGATCACTTGGTGATTGAAACACGTTTTGCTAGTCGACCTCGTACGCTATGTATCGCTAATTATCATGACGAATTATGGTAATTTCTGATATTGATTGAACTCGAATAACATCTATTTTTCAGGGATGAAACATTTATATGAAACTTGGAGAATATGCGAAACATTCGGTAACGCTACAGATGTGGAAAAGCTCGTAGACTGGTTGAGCGATATATACGTCAACATGGCCATGACGAACTACCATTATCCAACCAACTTCATTGTGCCACTTCCAGCGTATCCCGTGAAAACATTCTGCGACAAACTCGTTAGTTTGAACTCCACAGACCCATTGAGTACTTTAGCGAATTTAGGAAAAGCTCTGACAGTGTACACCAACTACACCGGAAGCACACTGTGCAACAGTATCAACTCAACATCAAAGTATCTGGGAGAATACACGTGGGACTACCAAGCTTGCACGGAACTTGTGATGCCAATATGTTCCACGAACAAAGACATGTTCGAAACACAACCTTGGGATGAAAAAAAGTACTCGGAAGAGTGTTCCAAAAAATACGGAGTCAGTAATTCGAGGCCAGACTGGATAGTTTCGGAATATGGAGGAAAAAATTTGAAATATTTCTCCAACATTGTTTTCAGCAATGGAATGATGGATCCCTGGTCATGTGGTGGAGTGACTACTAATATTTCATCCAACATTTGGGCGGTGAATATAACGGACGGGGTACATCACAGCGATCTCAGAAGTGCCGATCCTGCCGACACCAACTACGTAATCGAAGCTAGAAAATTCCATGTAAAGTCTATCAAAAAATGGTTGAACATGTTTTGAATAAAGTCTATACATCATGTGAAGTGTTATTTGCTTTCTTTGCGGTAGGCTGCTCACTTTCACTTTTTAAATAATCACTGTCAGGCGTATTTTAATTAATTATTAAAACTATTAAAACACAGGTTATGTATACTGTAGTAAACACAACTGTATACACTATAAGTATCCGAGCTCAGAATGGCGAGAGTGATAGCTTAGCCAGTGGGAAGAGAATCACACAGTCGCTTCCGCATGACGACCCGTCGCCACGCCAGCAATCAGTTTTACTTGCGGCTATAGATGTTTCACATCAAAAATGAAAAGTACTCAATATTATTTCACACTATAATTACAAAATCGAGTAATATTTGGTAATAAAAGCGTAATGCATTAGAAAAAGTACTCAATACTTGCAACTCTGTATACTATACATATATAGAAAACCATATGGACATCTGGGAAAATTAAACATTCATAAATTCAAATGTCATAATTCACTCATCGAGGAACAAATACAAATCATTACACAACAAGACCCAACATTCAATATACTACACATTTCAAGAAACTATGAACAAAAAGATATTACCTGATGCAACCCAAATACAGACCAATTTAAAGAAACATCCGGATGACAAGAGGGGACAAATACCTGCACTAAGGCGATTTAATCGTATAAAAGAACAAACAAGGAGATAAACCGTTCAGTTTGAGTAGAGCCATGAAGATGATAGCAAAGCATGCTATCAAAAATGTTCGAATGTGATAAGTAAAAGTTATTAAAGCTTCAAATTCTTTTTTGTAAACCTACGTTAATATTAAAATACTGAAATTGAAGGAAAAATAGTTGCATCAATCAAGAAATATATATATAGTTCTAGATTTTATATCGGTTATTAGTATGTGTAGATGCAGATGCACCTCCCTGAAAATAATCCAGGACACGCCCATGTCAATAATAATTTCAATATGGCTTAGCAGTTGATGGCATTGGAAAAAAAAACAATAAAATGATATAACACGAGTAGGGAAACTAAAAAAAAACAGCCTATATATTCACTTATGATGATGTTAATCTTCCATGAACATGAGTAGATGAGAGGTAGACTTAGAGGCGATTTACAAAAAAAAAAACAGCGTTATTATGTATCATCATTTTTTGTGTTAAGTTTATAGCTAATATCACCGGATTCCTCAAAAATAATTTCAATCTTCTCATGGGATGCTAAATGCACTTCAAATTCAGATTTCGTAGAAAAGTAAGTAAAGCACTGGTCACACTGATAGTTTTCCTCATTGTTATGACGTTTCATATGAACAGCAAGGCAGCTTGACTGTGAGAAGCCTTTGTTGCAAACCATACACGTGTAGGGTCTTTCACCTGTATGTGAACGACGATGAACTATGAGGGTACTGGAACCATTGAAACCTGAAACAAAAGTTAGGTTATGTTTATAACCATGCGATTAGCATATAGCTAATTTAGTCTAGATAGAGGTAATGAAACTGTATGTATCTTTCTATAACTAAGCAAAGCTTTTGACCTGGTAGATCACAAGATACACAAGGAGATCACAAGAAAAGCCGTGTTTCAGTAAAAATTATCGTATGTAAGAAGATATAGTACTTGCCAACTAAGATGAGATTTCGATGCGCATTTAAAACCAAATTGTACCCACCCCAGAAGATAGCTATTGGTCACACAAAGTGATATCAAAAGTACATTAGTGAAATATGACTTAAGTGGGCGGAGTTTTTTAACACAGAACGATTTTACGTTTCTGCGCTGACTCATATTAGTTGGCAATGTTACATACTATACCTCTATGTTACATTGAAGGACTTTGAGTTTAGTACGGAGACACCTAATATTCAGGTAATAGATATCGGGAAGATCGACAAATGGATATGCAGTTATGAACAGTGTCATTACAAAAATACTTACCCCTGTTACATATGTCACACACATGAGACTTCTCACCAGTGTGGGTACGCATATGCTTGGTGAGTTCATTAGACTGACAAAACGCTTTTTGGCATACACAGCACACATATGGTCTCTCTCCAGTGTGTGTCCTTACGTGAGCTATGAGGTTAGAACGTGTTGAGAATGCTTTTGGACATATTACACATTTATGGGGTCTTTCACCTGCAAAAGAAAAAAATATGGTACATAAATGGCAAACCTACGATTATGATCTGAAAAGTTTCCGACATCAACATCAAGATAGCAGCACTTGTAAATAAAAGCTAGTGAACTTCGTTGTTCATCTGTTGACAGTTACTCACCAAGGCTTCAGTCATTTTGGAGGCGCAGTTGTTATGTAACAGTCGTTTAAGTGAATTGATGTGACTGTTTTTATGAAAATGGACAAAATCGAGTATTGAGCTGTCATTGAATATTTGTTTTTGAAAGGCAATACGCCTATACAAATCAAAGAAAAGTTGGAATCTGTGTAGGGGGACTCTGTACCATTATTTACAACAGTGACATTTTGGGCAACTGAAATTAAACATACTCAAACGTGATCTTGAGAGACAATGAATGTTCGGGACATCCAGAAACTACAACTACCAACAAAAACGTCGCCAAAGTTCACCAAATGGTGCTAGACGACCGCCGAATTGAAGTGAGTGAGATAGCAGAGGTTATGAACATGTCAAAAAAAACGTCACATATTATATCAACAGTTTGGAACACAAAGATGAAATCCAAGGAGATTTGGGAAAAAACTATTTAAGCTTTCAATTCAATTCAAAATATACTTTAACAACAAAAAAATTAGTTCTTATTGACGAATCATTTTAATGAAATATAATTAAAAAGATTCAAAGTAGGATGGACAAAATAAATGCATGTAATTAACAATATATCCAATAAAAATTCAAAAAATATAAAGACAAAGTTAATAAATATAACTCTTAGTTATTCTTGAGTTGAAACTATTCCAAATTTAATGAACTATTTTTACCTGTTCACACTTGAGAAAGTAAGTAGGTAAGTCTTCATTTTCTTTATGACAAAAAATTTGTATATCTGAATTCAGTGAAAAAATATTCATCACATATTAAAAAACTAGATTCAACAAAAATTCTTTCGAAGTCAATGGTAATTTATTGAAAATCCTTTGGCCAATGACTGATGGAGAATTGAAATGGGCATTTTTTTTAACAAGGATATGTATATTACTGGAGTTTTTCCCAACACCAAACCGTTATTTTAACAACTCGACACGTGTTTCGATCACCAAGTATTCATCTTCAAGAAGATCAAACTGATCATACTTACAAAGCTATCCTTATTTATACCATAAATACCTGTTCTAGGTACCTATGTCTTGGTGTCTCAAATTAATTTTACAATTTGCCTTACCTACTTGTCTTGAATTGACTTTACAATGTGTCCTTATGTAATAGTCAGGTAAATCTAATAATTGAAATATTATAAGCTATATAAAATTAATATGTGTGATTGATGACTTGTTTACTTTATGGTAATTAATGATCACTTAAATGAAATGGATAAAAACACTTTTGTCTAAATACCACTGGTAGATTTTATTTATATTGACCCCATTATCAAGATAATGGGGTCATACCCCATTATCTATCTAATTTTACATTGATTCAATTCTAAAATTAATTAAAGCCACCAAGACACAGGTACCTATGGTATAAATAAGGATATCTTTGTAAATATGATTAGATTGATCTTCCTCTTGAAGATGATCACTTGGTGATCGAGACACGTGTTGAGGTGTTGAAATAAAGGTTTGGTGTTGGGAAAAAACTCCAGTAAAATTCATTACTACACCAAAGGTTCCAAACCGCTTTTTTCAGGTGGTTAATTTTAGCCTAGAATTAAGGATCGGATTTGAACATAAGTAATAGATAATAAGTATGAACTGGTTATAATTTAGAAGTTCTGCTCAAGCAAGCTTCTGTATAGTGGAACATGTCGCCTCTAAACTACATTATTATATTATTTAATGAGGCGGATCCATAGACAAGACGTTTCTATTACACCCAGTTTTGTTCCCTTGAAAAAATGTTCAATTCCTAGTGTAAGAAGTGCTAAGTTGGTAAAAAAAAGTAGATTTTTGTGAATATTATAGATGTTATCGAACCTGTGTGTGTTCGCATGTGCTTTTCCAAATCCTGTGCCTGTCTACACCCCTTATCACAGATTGTACATCGAAATGGTCTTTCCCCGGTGTGCATTCTCAGATGAATCTTGAAATTTCCGCTATGTGCAAAGGATTTGCTGCACGCCTTGCACTTATATGGCATATCCAAAGAGTGAGTTTTTACGTGTCTGCTTAGTTTGGTTGTAGTTTCAAATATTTTCTTACAAGTAGGGCATTGTTTACCCTGTTCCTTTTGTTCTTTTTTGGCGTTTTTTGTCTGATTTGTATCTCGATTTTTCTCCTTGTTGTCTTCCGATATTCCTGTTGTTGGTTGTTGAACTAAATTGACAACTTGAGCAGGTGGTGGCAGCTGCAATTATGAAATGATGTCAATGTGAAAGATAATACTAGTTTACCTGGGAAGACATGTCAGGTACATCGTTCATGAGAAAAATGAGAGACCTGGCTCAGGTTGGTTCTTGAAATAACTGGCTTTTTACGGTAAACTAATATACATAAATCCTACATAAATCCATCTAATTCAAAACATATAATACATTCAAACATATACATTTATAAGTATTGTTATTGATAATGTAACTTACTTGTATTTGTTGCATTAAATGATCAGGAAGGACAGGATTAGATGGTTGCATGGACAAAGGATAAGTGCCAGTACTATAAACCTGCACTTGCCCCACATCAGTTAAATTATATCCATTCAAGGGCACACCACCTTGATCGCCATTGTAATTGATCTGATTTAGGGGTTGCGGCAAATTTTGAGGCCCAGAAGAGAAATTATTTGAGTTTTGAGGAATGGGTTCTATCAACGGATTACACTCTATAAAAATACAATTGTTTTGGGATATTGCTTGTGTCAATTCTTCTGGAGTATCATTTTGATGGGTTCCTTCTTGGGTCTGATCGTACTGATCCTTATTCGACTTGGATGTCAGTAGCTGTCGCAATTTTGCATCCGACTTTTCGCATAACTTTTTGAACTGGAATGAAATATGCAGCTTCGCTGAACATTTATTACAAATTTGTGAAGGCAAACCGTCATTTTGCCATACCTGAAAGAAATAAAATTGTGAGTGTTTGCTGTTGAAATCACTTGTGCAAGAGTCTACCTGTACGGATGCGCAAGCCATCATCTTCTTAGAAATGTTGACTTTGAAAACGGACATCATAATGCCATCATTCAAACATATCCTACAAATTTTTTGGAAATCGTACTCCATCACTTCAATAGATCATAATACAGGGTAAGTGAAGTGTCTTGTTCAAATTTTTTGTAGTGTTCACGTTTATTATGAACGTTTCTATGTAGATAGTATTGGACAAAAACCGACCAACTTCAAAGTTTTTGAAAATTGCTGAGTGGCCTTTTCACAAATTTGGAAATTAACCTTCAGTGAGTGAGAAGTAAGTAGTGTTGGATATTTGATTTGGCATAAAATTGTACTCAGAAACCCTCTTATCACTATAGCAGACAAAAACAAAATAATATTAATGATTTTCAGTGTATATAGGTATGTTTGTTATAACATTACATTATCATTAACAATTACCACATATGAATATGACATAAACTGTTGCCAGAAATGTTTTGATTTTTAATTGAGTGATAGAAGAATAGAAGGTCAGGTTGTTGAAATTGCCTTTTATTGGTGTAACAACCACCAGTAACAACCGAAAAAATTCACCGTACTATTACTGTCACTGTCATAATTGATATGTCGATGACGTCACTGAAAGAACTACTGCTCAGCCAATGACATGGTCTGTCAGGTCTCGTTCCATATTCAGGTAACACTTTATTGTGAGATTTTCACTAAACAATTTACAAAACGGCAACACGTATTGGTCTATATAAAATCTTCGTTGTGCGTGTTCATACTGAATAAATTATACCTAATAAGTGATTGATGACTTGATGCCTAATAAATGTATCCAATTGATAATCAAAAATACATCCTCTTTTATGAAAAGGAGGAAACGAGTTCGCACCTTTGAGCATTTTGTAAAGTTATTTTCTAACTGTTCATTTTAATGTTATGTATTATCTAGTTAAACATAAAAGAAATCCAACTCATTAAATGCACATTTAATGAACTAATTGTCTATCTCCACATTAGAAAATAGATTCAACAGAAGGAAATAATTCAATTATATTTGTCTATTCAGTAAATTTCGAGAATTCATTAATCTTTTGATTTCCAAACCTTTCTCTTTCAAATGTAATACATCATAGTCATGGCTGAAATCATGTCCTTCTGGCAAAAGATGGTTTGCAAATGTAGAATTAGTCGTCATATTCAAAAAAACTACTCTTGATATATCCGACACTGAAGTTTCATCTTTATTGTCTTCTGCATAAGTTATTATTTGTTCCGTAAGCCTCATCCAAGTCTTTATTTTTCAAAAACAAGCAATGTTACTTATGAATTTGAGAACTAGTCTTTACATATGCATATCAGTAACGTAGTAACATATGATTACATATGAGATGACTGTTAGAAGTGTCAGAATTGAGAGGTGTCAGGATGAGTCAGATGCGTTCTGTGCTTTTGTTTATTGTTGTCCACGTCGATGTGGGTACCTCCATCTCTGTCATACTCATCAGTTATCACCATTTTATGTTATTTTACATAATTTACTATTTTCCATATTTAATAGCTTTGAACACGAAAGAAATTAAACAAACACACATCTCTCTACTTCGCCTAATTTCAATCGCTGTATATAAATATAAAATCAATGATTGCAGGATATTACTGATCATTTTTATAGATTACAAAGTGAGTAAAATACATATATTCTGTTTCAAGCTTTGGAGTATTTTGTGTAATTTTCATTGGCAACACTGGTATTGGCAATCTACGAATTTGTGTTTTATGTTTTATGATCATGGCTGGTTGTTGTGAATATAGAAGGTAGTGTATTGATAATTTATTGAATATATTAAATTATTTGAAAACAGTATTATCCCATTTCAGTATAATGAATAAGTTATATGTTTGAAAATCCTTATGAACAAACAAGTATACAATTATATTATATATTTAATCGTAACAATGTAAACAATCATTTTTAAAGATAACCATCAGTGCAGTTTTGTTTGTGATGACCTTGAGTAGAACTTACATGTATATTTGAAAGTGGGAAATGAATCAAATTGACAAGGTATTCCGATGTTTACACAATCATTTTTAGGACCTAAACATGTCTCTGTGGGCTAAAGTGCAACAGCTCCCTTCTGGGAGTCTCCAACAAATTTATGGAGATCATTTTCCTATTGAAGTGAGGCATTATCTTGCACAGTACATCGAAGAAAAGTTTTGGTAAGAAATTATGTATTTATAACAGACTGAACATATATTTTCATTATTGAATCAGTATATATTTTTTAACTTTACATTCTTTATGAAGTAGTGATTGGGGCTCTTCACTTTCTAGAACGATTCAATAAAATAGTTCTGCATTTTCTTCAGGAACGTTTAATCCCATTGGACGTACCTGGACGATACCTTTTCAGTACTCAGTGTATTCATAAGTATAGTATATACGAAGTCAATTCGTATAATTCGTCATAAAAACTGAATAGTTATTGAGTGTTGGCAGTTTCTTTGTATGGCATGGTATAGTTTTTAATCCAATAATTATTTTTATGTGGAAGGTTTTATATGGTATTAACTAGTAAATTGATCAGATCCAGTACATCAGTATTTTATTTAGATGTATTCATTTCATCTACAAATGTTGTTTTGAGAGATTCATATTTTCTACTTATGTCCTACTGCTCCTATGTTTTATATAATTGTTTTTAGTTTTGATGATCCACCCATACATTTTAGCAATAATCTTCAATAGTGACTGTATTTACAGGTCTGACGTTGATATTCAACCTGAAAACCCACAACATGAACCATATATTGCAGGATTGGTGAATTCTTTGATACAAGAAATAGAAAATAAAGCTGCAGTTGTCACTGACGCTGAATATTTTTTAACAAAGCTGAAGCTTGCAGAAGCAGCCAAAATGTTTCGACAAAGATACAGGTATGTTTTAGTTATTTCATAAGATTTTTACAATTTCGTGAAACTGATTTTATTTTTGAATTTCTTGTTTCGCTAATCTATAATTCCTTCCTACTATTTTATACCAGAATTGTGCAATACATTCATCTGAAAATTTCAAAATATCTGTTTAAATATGATATTTTCTCAAAAATTTTGCCAACTGTAGGCCTTGTTATATCGTATATTTGCTCTGGTTTGTTTTCATCCTTCTCCTTTTCTTCAATTTTTTTTTCTTCCCTTCTCTTTTTCTTCCCTTCTCTTGTCTTTCCCCTTTTCTTCTTCTTTTTCTTCTTCCTTCCCCTTTTTTCTTCTCTTTTTCTCTGTGAACTATCACTTTAGGCAATTACTTATTAGTCAAAAAATCTCAACATAAATTCATTCCGACTCGGCAAAATATAGACTATTTTATAATGTGTTGGTTGATTCTAGTGCCACTCCAGTGCTATTATTTACACATATTCGAACCTGTCTTGCTGCTGAGGTGAGGTTGGTTCAGGCTGCTGGAGGAGAACTCCTTACAGGTTTACCGAACGTGATGATATCAAATTCTGGTGTGGAAGTGTTGCAAAAAGTAACTGTGTTAAGGAGCAGAACACAGGTAATTCTTATGTTTTTTGCCCCGTGACATGTGCATGCTAAAAAGATATGGGTTCTGTATATTTGTATCATAGCCCAGTCAAGATTGTCTTTGCTCAAACTATTGAATAGTTACAACTTTATTCGTGCTACTTTGTATTGAATTGCTTCGTTTCTTAATGGATTTGAATTTATTTACTAATTATCAATTTCAGGGTACCGCTGAAGACTTGAGAAAGATGGAGCAAGAGCTGGAATCTTTTGCTCTGCAATACCATGAATGCACCAAAATTAATGGTGAGTATGTTTGTCCATTGCGAGAATTTTGGTTGCCTCATTATTTATTTTCCATTTTCCAGCACATTTGCAACAGATGTCAAGTCAACAGAATTCCCAGGCAAATATTCAGAAACTTCAGAGGCAGAAAGAGCTACTGGAACAAGTATTGAACCAGAAGATAGCTGGGCTGATGCAACTCAGATTAGCACTTGGAGAAAAATTGAAAGAGACGTATCAGTTACTCATGCAATTGCAAACCCATGTATTGGACGAGGAATTGATTAAATGGAAGAGGGAACAGCAGTTGGCGGGAAATGGTGCCATCTTCAATAGTAATTTGGATACTATACAGGAGTGGTAAGAAAATGTGGTGGTTTACTCCTCAGATTTTTGGAGGTCCACTGGATTTTCACAACTTTCAAAATTTAAAAAATATAAATATTAATTCATTGTGTTAGAAACGGAGTCGTGATCTTTTTTTTTTATTGTTATTCTCTCCATGATATTCGGGAACTTACTTTTGAATGTTTTTCCAACATTGTCATAAACTTATGATGCACTATTTGGAACCTTTGGTGTAGTAATGAATATTACTGGAGTTTTTTTTCCCAACACCAAATTGTTATTTTTAACACCTCAACACTTTTTCAATCACCAAATGATCATCTTCAAGAGGAAGATTAAACTGGACACTTCGCGAGCTAACCTATACAGATATACCATCAGGTAAACCATACAGGTATACCACACCTAAATTAATTTTACAATTTGCCTTATCTATTATTTTACAATATGTCCTTATGTAATGTTTAAATGTTATAGCTATATATAAAATAATTTTCAGTTATATAAAAAATTCATTTCACAATATTGCCTATCTGAATTTACAAAGTTGTGTAGGCACAAATCTCATCTCAACCCAGTAAGAATAAAGTCACAACTCAAAATACTCAGTGCTACTATTTTGAACAGTTCAAATCCTAATATATATATTATGTGTCACGTTGTTTGTCCGCTATGGACTCCTAAACTACCAAACACGATTTTAATAAAATTTTGCACACTGTGTGCACTTTTATCCAATTCGATAGATGGAATAGTTTAAATCTCAATTTATGATTGCAATATTGTTTTATTGCAAATTATTTGTTCATTACCTGACAAAGAGTCGTAATTATCTGTTAGTTCGATAATATTCTAACAGATGGCGGTATAAGGCGTTATAGACTGGATTGAGTAAGTATCCAATAGATGACGATATAAGTTGACTGGTTTAAGTATCCAATAGATGCCGCTATGTTGAAAGTACAAACGGCATGACAAATGTCTATGGCAGACTTTTTTTCCGTCTTGATTCATAAATAATAATGTCACTGCATTGAATAGTTGACAACAGTATAACATAAGTTTGAATTGTGAAGCTATTCTTGTGGGGTTGTAATATATATGTCAAGTTTCCATTGTTGATGTTTTTTAAGGTGCGAGAGTTTGGCAGAACTGATTTGGTTGAATAGACAACAAATCAAGGAAGTAGAGAGGCTCAAACAAAGAGTTCCGCTTGATCCACCTGGTGTGGCTGATGTATTGCCACATCTGCTTCAAGATTTTACACAGCTGCTTTCAACATTGGTGACTTCGACTTTCATAATCGAAAAACAGCCTCCCCAAGTGATGAAGACTAACACCAGGTATCTTTTCTTCTACTTCTTTCATTTTCAGTCTGCGATGCAAGTGTATTAACTGTCTCCAGAATTCGCTATTCCGACTACAATGTTATCAACAACAACCCGACAAAGTGTAATTTGGGTACCCAAAAACTTTGAATAATTTTTTTTTCTAAAAGTGGACAAGGTTTTTGATCTCGTATTTCACTTTTTCAGATTCACAGCCACTGTGCGATTACTTGTTGGGGGAAAACTAAATGTCCATATGACCCCACCCCAAGTTAAAGTAACGATAATATCTGAATCGCAGGCGAATCTGCTACTCAAAAATGACAAGCTCGGAAAAAGCGGTGAGAGCTCTGGGGAAATCTTGAACAACACTGGAACAATGGAGTACCAACAGANGAAATCTTCATTTTCCAATACGTATGTATCTTTCCTCGATATAGTTTTCAGACACGTTTTTTATCTCTGTTAGAGTATGGCTTGAGGCTTTGTTTACGAGATGGAGCTGTTACTAGTTAACAATCTTTTTCTTACACGAGAAACCTCTACGAGACAAATCTCTGTGAGATATTGTGCATGAATGTCTGTTGGACGTAACTCAATATCTAGCTTGGTATTCATACATTTGAGGCGTCATTTAGAAGGACTTTTACCTCGGAAACGATATTATGAACCTTTTTTTTGTAGGACGGTGCAACTAGTGTGGTTTTTATTCTTGCTAAATAAAACGAAGTTATATTGGCTAATAAAATGAAAAATTATTCTCCGGGCAATGATATTATAACGCCATCTCTCCCAGGACGGTGCAACTAGTGTGGTTTTCATTCCTGCTAAATACGAAATTATATTGGCTAGTATAAGGATATTATATTCTCCCGGAAAGGATATTATAACGCCCCCTCTTGCAGGAGGGTGCAATTAGTGTGGTTTTTATTATTGCGAAATAAAACGAAATTATATTGACTAATGTAAGGATATTATATTCTCCCGGAAAGGATATTATAGCGCCCTCTCTTGCAGGACGGTGCAACTAGTGTGGTTTTTTTTATTGGCTAATAAAATGAAAGGTTATTCTCCAGGAAACGATATAATGCCCTCTCTTGCGGGACGGTGCAACTAGTGTGGTTTTCATTTCAGCTAAATAAAACAAAATTATATTGGCTAATATAGGGATATTATATTCGCTCGGAAAGGATATTATAACGCCCTCTCTTGTAGGACGGTGCAGTTAGTGTGGTTTTTATTACTGCTGAATGAAACGAAATTATATTGGCTAATATAAAGATTTTATATTCTTCCGGAAAGGATATTATAATGCCCTCTCTTGCAGGACGGTGCAACTAGTGTGGTTGTTATTTTAGCTAAATAAAACGAAATTATATTGGTTAGTGAATTGAAGGCTGGTTAATACATTGAGAAAAATTGAATATAGCTGAACTTTTCCTATCATTGTCTTTGTGTATTTCAGTTTCAAATCAGATCTTATGCTAATTTACAAAATAGTTAACGGTAGCATTAATTCCTCGGAACTTATTGAACTTATAACTTTAAACGAGATTCCAAAGAGAAAAAGAAATACAGACATTTTCTAAGTACCCTGTTATCATACTATGGCCAGAATGAGTCTAAAGGTAGATTTTTGAGACTTGCAAACATTTACAATGTAGATTTATATTTTTTTAATTCTTCTTTGGAATCATTCAAAAAGACGGAAAATAATGTAATTGATTGGCTTATTTTTGTCTTTTTTATATTTTTTCCTTACATCTAGCTGATAGTTATAGTACATATGTGTGCATTTGTTAATTATTTTGTAAAAATTAGGCAATGCCGCAAATAAATAAATTCTGAATTATTTGTTGAGTTGATATGAAATGGGCAATAAAAATCAATTTCAGGTTGCTTGGAATAAAGTTGCTGAAACATTATCCATAAAGTTTAGAGCTGCAACAAACAGATGTTTGACTGAGGACAACCTGCGATTTTTAGCAGAAAAAGCTTTCAGAGGAAATTACAATGAAACCAGTAACGCAATGTTGAGTTGGGCTCAATTTTGTAAGGAACCTTTGAGTGAAAGGAATTTCACGTTTTGGGAATGGTTTTATGCAATCATGAAGTTGACTAGAGAACATTTGAGGGGACCATGGGCTGACGGGTAAGAATTGATAATATATTAGGTTGTTTCAAAAGTTTTGTCCATATAATATTATTGAAGTGTTGAGCTTCAAAAATATATGACATTGAAATGGACAAAACTTATGAAATAACCTGATAATAATAATAATAATAGCTTTCATTACCCAACAGATGAAAATCATTTACAGGGATGATTAAGTATGTTGAAAAGTAATATAGGTTCTTATAAATGAAAAAAATATGCCAGAAATTGAAAATTCCATGAAAAACTGAGATGTAGTTTTGGAAATATATTCTAGGGAATCAAAATTGATATCATACAAATTTGAAATTGAATTTGGATTATTGCAAATACTAAAGATAGGTGAATTGAGGTACAAATTGGTTCTGGCCAGTCGGCAGTAAAAAGTTCTTAAATGAGGCACACAGAAATTTATAAGAGATAACACCTCCAAAATATCCATATTGTTGTGCAGTGATTTATGTAGGAAAACTATTCCAACAAATTTTTTACGTAACTCAAGACTTTTAATATTGAATGTTATAGTAAGATATTCACATGGAATACCTCTATCAAGCTAGATACCATAAGATTTGAAGTAAATAGACTTTAAGAAATGATATTGAACTTTTTCAATAAATGAATTATAGCAATTGTAGAATGGAGATCATAGAACAGAGCGTAGTTAGAGCAGATACTATAACTTCGTTGAAATCCAGTATGATGAATTTATAATTATGTTGGTAAATGTTTGTTTATAACAGTAGAGTAACGATATTCCATATGATAGATGTAAATTATGTTTAGGGCCATAATGGGCTTTGTGAGGAAGAGACAAGCTGAAGAACTATTATCATCCTGTACGTGTGGGACTTTCCTTTTACGATTCTCAGACAGCGAATTAGGAGGAATCACGATTGCATGGGTCTCCGGTATAATATTCATTCATATTGATACGAGATCAGCTTTTAATGACGTTTATTTTCAGACACTGGAGAAGTCTTCAGTCTCCAACCTTTCACTTCAAAAGATTTCGCTATACGATCTTTGGCCGATAGGGTTGCAGATCTGAATCATCTGGTGTACTTGTATCCGGATATTGCGAAAGATCTTCCCTTCGGAAAATACTATACGCCATATCAAGGTGAGTATATGGAATATCAATTATTCAAAGTAATATTTGTTTAACCAAAGAAGTTCCAACTGATTTTTCGTAGGTTATTTGCTGTTTATAGAAATTGGTCTTTCCAGAAATTGGAAATATATGCTCCTGGAAACCATCTAGAAATGAATACCAAGAAAATGCGGTTTTCCAAAAGCTGATTCAGAATTAACTATAACTACCGTTTTCTTGTAAACAATTCCGAAGTTGAGATTGTAAATAAGTACACTTATTCAGGAGTTATTTTCGCTTCTTCATCTCTCTTCAGAAAAATATCAGTTTCCTCTGTGTCGAAAGAAAATCAGGTAGCAAATCTCAATTCTTACGAAATTCAAGACAAATTCTCAGGAATCGTTAATAAAACTATACGATGCTTTTGTTATCAGCTCTTTCTCTGCGTGCTCATCTGTTTGGGGAATTAACTATGCCGACATATTGGAAAGAGTACAGGTTAACTTCCTTAAGAACGTTCAAATTTCGCAGGCTACATATATTCGATTTGCGATTTTTTTTATGTTGGTACAATCGGCTCGAACATATGTTCACAGTTTTAGCTGAACGAGCGCCATTTGAATCAATGCACTTTTGCCAAGTCAATTGATTTCGTCAGCATAAAAGTGTGTGCTCAGGATTCGATGAAGTTGACGAAGGCCATTTTTATCTGGTCCTGATTGGCGAAGGTTCTACCAGTGAGAAAGTTATCCAAGTGCTTGAAAAGGTGGTAGTCAGTTAGCGAGAGGTCTGGAAGTATGATGGGTGTGGCAGAACTTTGATGCTTAATTAGTTTTATTTTTGTATGGTGACTTGTGAAACGTGCGGACGAGCTTTGTCGTGTTGTTCTATTGACCAGTCCCCGCTGCCACTGCACACTCATTAAGAACCCAGGAACTTCAGTGGGTTCAACAAATCAGTAGAGAAGTGTTTAGCGGATTGAAAGGGAACATATGCAATAAAGGGAACAACTCTTTTAAATGAAGGATACCGATGCACAGTCGTACAAGTCATAATTTTGGTAAAGTATTGTGAAATTTTCATATGTAACAACATAACAAAAATATATCACAAGTGTTGAAAGGAACAGAATCGGGACTGGTCGATACTTGAAGAAAATCCATTATGACACATTGAAAAAACACTTTAATGTGTGATTTCCACTTGAAAGTTTACAAAACCGCGACACGTGTTTCGCTATACAATAGCATCTTCAGGTTTCACAGTACTGTGACACCTGACTAAAACTTAAATTTACGACTTTAAACTCGAAACTGAGACTTTCAAAGTAAAAATTACGACTTTTCAACTCAAAATTATATCAATCTTGAAAATACGAGTTTTTTTTCGAAATTTCGACTTATTTCGACTTTAAATTTAAAATTCAGCTTCAAACTCAAAACCACGTCTTTCAACTCGAAATTACGACTTTTCAACTCGAGATTACAACTTTTTAACTCGAGATTACGACTTCTTAACTCGAGATTACGACTTCTTAACTCGAGATTACGACTTCTTAACTCGAGATTACGACTTCTTAACTCGATATTACGACTTTTTAACTCAAAATTACGACATTTTAACTCGAGATTACGACCTCATTCTCAAAATTACCACTTAAAAAACGAAATTACGAGTTTTTCGCGAAATTTCGATTTTTCAACACGAAATTTCGACTTTCAACTCAAAATTACGACTTTGAACTCGAAATTACGACTTTGAACTCGAAATTACGACTTTGAACTCGAAATTACGACTTTAAATCACGAATTTAAACTATAAATTACAACTTTTATATCGGAATTTCGACTTTAAACTCGAAATTACGATTTTAATATCGGAATTTCGACTTCAAACTCGAAATTACGACATTAAGCTCGGAATTACGACTTTAATATCGGAATGTCGACTTTAAACTCGAAATTTCAGGTTTAAAGTCAAAATCACGTCTTTCAACTGGAAATTACGACTTTAAAGTCAAAAGCACGTCTTTCAACTCGAAATTACGACTTTTTAGCTCGAGATTACGACTTCAACTCTGAAATTTCCACTTTAACTCTGAAATTTCCACTTTAATATCTAAATGACGACTTTTTAACTCGAGATCACGGCTTCAACCTCAAAATTTTGAGTTAAAAATTCGTAATTTCGAGTTTAAAGTCGCAATTTCGAGATTGAAGTGGAAATTTCAAGACTGAAGTCGTAATTTCGAATTGGAAAGTCGTAATCTCGAGTCAAAAGTCGTAATATCGAGTTAAAAGTCGTAATTTCGAGTTAAAAGTCGTAATTTCGAATTAAAAGTCGTAATTTCGAGTTAAAAGTAGTAATTTCGAGTTGAAAGTCGTAATTTCGAGTTTAAAGTCGTAATTTCGAGTTAAAAAGGCGCAAGTTTGTGTTTAAAAGTCGTAGTTTCGAGTTTGAGGTCATAATTTTCAGTTTCAGTCAGGCGTCACAGTAGTATGACGCCGGAAGATGCTATTGTATAGCGAAACACGTGTCGCGGTTGTGTAAACACATCAAATTATTTTAATTATTACTTGTAAATCACTCATCATAAATCATTCATTTTGCTTTTGCAGACAATCAACCGACATCAAATAACGGATACGTGAGGCCACATCTGGTAACGCACGTCCCTGGATTCACTGGTCACAGTTATCCTAATACACCACAACATCCGTTCATGCAGTCTCCAGATCCCAGTCGTGACACGCCGTCGGTAGCAAGCAGGTGAGCTATGTTCCCTTCAAGTATGAAATTTATCTTCACTGATTTTTTCTGTACCAGCTATCCTAATATGATCGATCTCTAGAGTCTGAGGAGGAACGCAAACGGACCACTTTAAAAAAATTTAATAATTGTTTTGCAAAACTATGTGCTTTAAGTTAAGTGATACGAAGAGTAGTGGACATTTTTTTACTTTTTGATATATATACAAATAAATATCTATCTACTATATAGTTTTGAACAACAAAGTTGTATTGTGCTGAAACTATAGTATTTTGTTACTTCTGGATAAAAAAATTTACTAAAATTTCTAAAATTTTATCTATGCTCAAAGTCAGGGTAATTGTCATAAATATAATTGAATGTGATAAAATTTCTAATTAATGTTGAATGTTTGAAGTATTACATATGACAAATTACAAGATTTGTTGAAGTCGTGTTTTTATTTCAATATTAATTTGGGGAAAATGAACAATGTTAGTATTCACACATTTCAACAGATCGGAAAAAAGTTACCTCAAGAGACATAACTTCCATTAAAGGTCCAAACATTTACAACGCGATTAACACCATTTTAAACACAGGAAGGGCATATTCTAAGCATTCGTATCAATATGGTGTTGAACATTGTTGTAAAAGATGAACTCTTGGTGTTAATATAGTCCTCCAGACTGTAAAATTTAAGAACCTTTTTATTCGTTACCAAATATAAGTTTGAACTAACTGAATTATTGAATAACTTCTGTGAACAACTCATATTCCTATATATCATCGAATATTTTTCCTGTAACTAAAAAAGGGTAATATGTGAGCTGTGGAGAAGAACACAAGCATACGAGGTATGATCAAAAGGGGAGTTTTTGAATTTCATGGGTTTTGAGAGTCTGATTTTAATTTTTTTTATATTGGTATATTGTTCGAAATATGAAGTGAATGTTCAAATTTCCCGGTTTTCCTATTTTTTTGATTAATACATTTTTAATAAATAAAGGTTTTTTTGAGAAAAATGAAAATTCACCTTATTTTTTGAACACTCAGCGTACATGCCCCTGAAGTATGATAAAATTTCCCTGAAAGAGGGGTGTTTTTGAACGTTAATTTATCGTCTGGGTCACGTAACTTTAATTGTAATAAAATTGTCCTATTTAACAGTAATAGTGATGATAATGATGATATTTCTGTTGACTACTTCGCTACATGAATCATTTTACAGGAACAATATGAATCTTCGACTTGAAATGTAATATTTCATTGTCTAAATGAAGAAAAGGTTTTTAAAAAAATCTGTTTAAAATATGTTTTTCCGTTAATCAGCTGTAAAAGAGTTCAATGATTCAGTTGGTTTTGACAAGTGCTATAAACTATCCACGATAATAATTATACAGTTTTCACACTAAAAGTTTTATTTAAGAAACGTTGTTTCGCCAAGCGGTTGCTTCATCAGTTAGACATGAGTTGAAGCTCCTCTTTCTGTAGCAAAACCAGTCCTGAAGAAATATTTCATTAGTTCGGACTTCCATTGTCCATATAAATTGATTCAAAATCCCTGAAAGAATCTGTAAAAAAATTAAAAAGATTAGCTGGAAAAAATAATTTTATTAAACAAAAAACTGAAATTACAATGAAATAAAATATAAGAAATAACCAAAAAATGAAAAATTAACACGAGATTTTTTAAAAAAAAACGACGATTGTCGATACTAACAGTCGATTCTTGCTTTGGAATCTTTTAATTTTTATTTTTCATTTCATGTTGATAATTTTCATTTTGTAATTTTCATCTCGTGTTAATAGTTCAATTTTTTCTTTTTATTTTTTGGTTGTTGCTTGTATTTTATTACATTGTAATTTCAGTTTTTTTTGTTTAGTATAATTGTTATTTTTTCAGCTAATCTTTTTAATTTTTTGCAGATTCTTTCAGGGATTCCAAATCGATTTATATCATCATATTAGACATTGGAAGTCAAACAAAGCCGAAGAAATGTTTAGTACGGAAATTGTATAATTATGACTATCAAATAATGAGTTAGTGTATTCATACTTTGAGTGCCATAAAAATCCTAAATCCGCAAATTCGGCCAAGGCCGGATTTCCTTCAATTAATGACAAGCATGCTGCAAACAGACTTAACCAGACACATTGCAACATTCCTAATTCTGTGCCCGAAGTCAGTTTCAAACTTCTCTCACAACATTATCTCAATATTATTGGTTGTCTGTGTTGCAGTATGTGATGTCTGGTTATGTCTGTGCAGTTATGCCGGCTCCGTGGCAACGACCGCTACCACTCATCTGGACGGCTCCTCCGGGATGGACTATTTGGATCAGCTCGATGACGTCAACATCGATTTGAATGGTCTGGTCAACTTGAACGAGCTCATGGGCTATAAACAGTAAGTTTCATGACTTTTATTTTGTAGTTAATTTGTTTTTGTTACTTCCAAATCAGTGTATGTAATGTGTTTGAAGAATGTAAACTTTACGGCTGGAGATAACTGTCAGAAAGCTATTTTCCGGGGTTTTTTTGGCCATGGTCTGCAGGTTTTTATGAAGTTGGTCTGAAAAGTTACTGACCTAACAACACAATCTCCTTTTAACTCTACACGCGTTTTTCTCTGCAAAATAATTGTTCACGATGGTGATTGCCTCTTCATTTGATGAAAATATCTGTCCTCCGAGCGAAATATTTAGATGAAGGAACAAAAAGAAGTCGCTTGGGACTAGATCTGGTGAGTAAGGCGGATGGTCAAGCAGTTCAAACTGTAATTCGTGGATTTTTGCCATGGCAACCGCTGAGGTGTGAGAGTGTGCGTTATCTTGGTGAAACAGGACTTTCTTTCCGCAAGTTCTGCCTTCAGTTTGTCAAGTATTGATGGGTAGTATGCTCCTGTGATAATTTTTCCTTTTTGAAGATAATCGATTAGAATAACTTCATGACTATCCAAAAAAAACCGTCGCCATCATTTTCCCAGTGGAAAAAACATTTTTTTTGTTTTTTTTGAGCCACTTCCGGGCGTATGATGGTGTATCCAAATTTTACCATCCATACACCATGGTGTATCGAAGTTTGGCGGCAATTATTCGGCGTCAAAAGGCGTATTTATTGCGCGTTGGAAATGTTCATTCGAACGCATTCTTGGTCTAACGTGAGCAAACGCGGCACCCAACGCGCGGACAGCTGTCTCATGCCCAAATGTTGATTCATTACGTTCTTCTGACATGTTCGTATCCCATGCTATTTCTCTCACTTCAATTGCGCAATCGTCTAGCACCCATTTGGTGAACGTTGGCGATATTTTCGTCGGTAATTGCAGTTTTTGGACGTCCCGAACTTTTGAAAAGGTGTGAGCCACAATAAACCTTTGCGGGTTGTGGTGGAGGGTCGAATAGACCCACTCACTTTTATCGTAACCTCTGCTATCTCTCTCACTTTAATTCGTCAGCCGTCTAGCACCATTTGGCGATGTTTTTGTCGGTAGTTGCAGTTTTTGGACGTTCCGAACGTTCATCGTCTCCCAAGCTCTTACGGCCACGTTTAAATTCGGCTGCCCAAAATTTCACTGTAGTAAATGATGATGCAGAGTCCCCATACACAGAATCCAACTCATCTTTGACTTGCGTAGGCGTATTGCCTTTCAAAAACAAATATTTAATGACAGCTTGAAACTCTATTTTGTCCATTTTCACAAAAACACACATCAACTCACTCAAACGACTGTTACATAATAACTGCGCGTCCGAAATGGCTGTGGTGAGTAACTGTCAACATATGAACAACGAAATTCACTAGCTTTCAATTACTAGTGCTGCTATCTTCATGTTGAGGTCGGAAACTTTTCAAACCACCCTCGTATGCCTGACGTTTCGTCTACTACTGCGGTAGACGAAACACTTGGCATGAAATCCTGAAGACTACGGCCAAAAAACCCGGGAAACAGCTTTCACACATGATTTTTATCGTTCGAATTACATAGATATTGTGTAACAAGCACGTTTTGAGATAGATCAAGAAAAATGTGAATGTGCGAGAACATTTTTGTTAATTGTGTGCTATTTCCTTGATCAATCTAATACGAACTCTCAGCGATGTCTTACTGTTTAAAACATTGTTCACTGAAACATGTAACAAATGATTGTATATTTGAAATGTTGTCCCTTAATATCATTCAAGTTGAAATAAATTGATATTATGTTATGGAACTGAATATAATCTACATAATGCTGACTCTGATCCAACTGTTTTCAATTTATTGATTAGTTTACTTTCAAAAACAGATGATTAAAAAAAGTTGGGTTATGTATGGACTGTATAAATTTTTTCTCGGACTTGAAAATGGTTCTCAAACAATCATTTTTTATGTGTTTTGTGTTGCCATAATAAGAAGTGATATACATTGCAAATAGCATCATTTTAATCTTTTGTATTTCCCTTTGTCGGAATTTTATTTTTCATTGACCTTATAGGTTAGACCGCACTAACTGCACTATATGTAAAACATGTGTAGGACATGATAAAGTAGAAATTTATAGGTAGGTAATTTGGCATTTATAGAAATGCTCTGAGAGATTCATGTGTGAGGTCAATTTAAGGGCTAATAGCACAATTACAAATAAATAGGTTAGACGGCTACTATTTGTTACAGAGTTAACAAATATGCCTACTCTTTCCTTGGCCTAAATGTGAACTCTCTCAACGTTAGGTATCCAATTAACATTGTGTTGATGCCTTCCCGTTAGATTTTTTAGCTTTTGAATTAACAGTCTCTATTTTGTTTTCGTGGCATCATTGTTTATCGACATTTCATAGGAATTAATCATCTCAGAAATGAAATTACAGCAGTTATTTGCTAGAGAAAGCATGAACTAAATTACTGTTGGTTATTGAGTAATTTATAACAATATTAGCCGAGTATTTTTGATAAAAAGAATTGGAACCTCCAGCGAAGAATGAATCTGAGGAAAACATTTTTTCCATACCAGAACAGAAGGACTCGTATGAAGTAAAATGAATCAGCTCAAATATTGTGAATTAATATCGTCTCAGAAGATAGATATTTCAAAAAAAAAACTAATGAATACAGTTAATTGTATGATTTTCACTATAAAGGGTTTTACAAAAACCGCGACACGGTGCTCAAGCATAGTTATGCTTTCTCAAGCATAACTATGCTTGAAAATCATACAATAAACTGTATTCATTAATTCTTTAATATGGATTTTCATCAAGTATTGGCCAGTTCTATTCAATTATAGATATTTCCAATTGTTTTTTCAAAAACATTCGTTATTAATAAAATGAAGAATTTTGAAAACTCTGGATTTTCCTAAGGTCTCATTTCATAAAAATATTCTGCTCCTGATTTGGTGAACAGATATACAAATATACGTAGAGAATGTGGTATTTTATTGAATAGCTTGAATGACTTGTGCTGCTTCAGGTATTTAGGTGAATTTTTCAATTTGAGAACTTACTTCCACTCCCATTTTTGTACAATTTGAGTCAAAGAGTGTTTTTGAGGAAGTTAACATATTCGCATCAGCCAGTTAAAATACTCTGATCAACAATTGAACTGGATAATTTTTAAATTCTAAAAATTGAGATATAAAAATATATTTTGAGGCCAATCGTGTTTGCTATACTGTTTGTAGTCAAAATTTATTTGCATTTTCTTTTTTCTTGGTGTTTTTGTCTCCACAAAAAATGTTTGCAGGAATATGGCCCCAAAATCTGTACATACTAATATCCACTTCAATTGTTGAGCAGTTTATATGAAACTACGTACTTTCTTCAACAAGGTTTGTGGGGCTTGGTTGAAAAAGGGACTATTTAGCTGCAATACAATGCATATTCCGAGGGATATTTTTATTATGAACGAGAAAAGTTGAAAAAAGTTATTGAATAGTATTCGTAAAAAAAAACACTTTAAAAAATGAGTTGGCTGTGCCGAGTAACGAATTGGAAATGTTGTTTGACTGTTCAATATATGAAATTTTGTTTGAAAGGAATCCTTTGGCACGTACCTAATTTCAACTGGATACCTAAAACAAGCAGCAAGAGGTTTCAGGACCACCTATCTAACAGTATCCGTTTAATCCTGATCGGGGGTTGTTGACTTTAAATTCAAATTAGATTTCGACTACAACTGGACTACTTGTGATTGAGTCTTATCTTCTAATCAGAAAACATTTCCTGCTGAAAACACTAACGGGCATGTGAGTACAAACGTGTTTTGAAGGCTGTGGCTTTCATAGTCGAGAGTACAATGATACTTTATTGTGAAGTGTTTGGAAAAACACGGAGCATCAATAATTTTTATCTTCTAGGAACCTGTTTGGATGTGCAATTTATGGGTAATTCGTGTATATGTTATCGATAGTTTGAATAAGGTGCTTTTGAATATATTTCAAGTTTTGTTGTAGTTAACTTAGTTTTTAAGCGTTTTTAACTTTTTTAAGAATAATTCAGTTGCGAGACTATTTTATTCTAAATGTTTTACCCATTCACATATTTTATACGGAAGCGCGGAAGGTCCACATATTTTTATTATTCGTTTCTTCTAAATTACGACTTTGAAACTCGAAATTTTGACTTCAATCTCGAAATTTCGACTTTAATCTCGAAATAAAAGGTAATTTTGAGTTAAAAAACGGTATTTCGAGTTTGAAGTCGTAATTTTGTGTTAAAAAGTCGTAATTTTGTGTTAAAAAGTCGTATTTTTAGTTAAAAAGTCGTTGAAAAGTCGTAATTTTTAGTTAGAAAGTCGTAATTTCGAGTTGAAAATTCGTAATTTCCAGTTTGAAATAGAAATTTTGAGACAAAATTCGAAATTTCCAGATTAAAGTCGTATTTTCGAGTTAAAAAGTCGTAATTTCGAATTTAAAAGTTATAATTTTCAGTCAAAAAGACGTAATTTCAAGTTTAAAGTCGACATTTTGAGATTCAAAGTCGTAATTTCCAAGAAACGAGTAATAAAAATTTGTGGTCCTTCTTTTCCGCCATTTTATAAGGGTGACCATATATTTTTAGAGAGATATAAACCTTGTTACACTATTTTTAAATTAATAGACAATCCTAATATTTCGAAAGAAATATTGATGTAAATAGACTATTCTTCATAGAACTTCCACAGTTGTTTTTCATCTGTAAGGGTCTGAAAATGTTTTTAACAATTGAAGTTTGAACAGCTGGATAGCCAAGGATCGAATTATGGATTAGAGAACCTCCATTAAATTTAACTTCAAACCGTTTATTGACTAGCATATGATGTGTTGGAGCTAACAAAGAGGGTAGGGATATGTTTGTCATTTGTTTCTAGTGAGTTTATCAACGTTTCTCCCATGTGAGTGGTTTGCATCTTCAGGAATTTTTGTACTCTTGAAAAAGCAACGTTTGTTTCGGTGAAACGTTGAGTCACTTGAAACCAACAGTGTTCCACATTCCTGAAAAGGTTTTGAAATGATACAACTTGACATCAATAACATCATTGGTATTTTTATTGATAAATCCTATTTTGTTTTCAATTGATAATTTTGTATCGAATGATTCAGTTATTTTCTACACGAGATCGACCTTTCGAGATTGTTAAAAATGCAACTGTGGGGGTTTTAAAAGAAAAAAAAATAGTGGTAGACCAATCAACTTCAACTGTTATTAAATAACATTTATTTTGTTTTGGCGATTTCAAAATTTTGAAAGTTTTGTGAACTTGCTAGTATTTTGGCTGCTTTGCTGAGTGATCATATCAACTATTTTATTAATTTCAAGGTATCCACTTGCAGTTGGATATAAAAACAAGTACACATTAATTTACAATTCAATTGCCAATGTTACGGCGGCGTTTGTCGCCTTTTTTAGTCCTACAATAAAAATAGATGATAATAAACTATAATTTGTTGTACAGTTCCAAAAAACCTATTGACGATGTTGCCCTTCATTTGTATTCACCAAAACTGTAAATCTGAGTATTTTGTTTATTTATTTTTTTTAGATATTCCACAAAATATCTCATTTTACTTAAAACAACATGCTCAGATATACAGTTTGGCTATTTTTATTGTGGCTCTGAAGCTGGCGACAAACGTCGCCGAAACGTTGGCAATTGAAATGTAAACTAATGGGTACGTGTTTTTATGTCTAACTGCCAGTTAATAACTAGCAATCGTACACATCTGAACGTGAGGAAAATTGAACTATTTCGTTAACATAAATGAATATCTTTTCCATTATTTCTGGAGAAAACATTTGATTATCTGTTTTTGTTGGTTCAGTTATTGATTGGTCTCTCTGTATTAGTGCCTCTTTGTTGACCCACTTTTTCATAGATGTGAAAATGATTTTATTCACACAAATTTAGGACACGTGTTATATTTTTTCAAAATGCAATGAAACGTGTATAGTTTCTGCTTTCCATGTTTGTTCTGGATATACTTATATCTTGAAGGTTGTTAGCTTACTTCAATGCTTTGGAAATCCTGATATAGAGCATCAGTACGAAAATCTATCAGCTCTATCAGTGGGACGTAGCTTTTAATTTTATAGAATCGTCTGATTCTATACTTTGTTTGTTGATACACAGTCGATTTGAAAATAATATGAATTCAGAAGTTTTTGAACTCCCAAGTTGATCATGCGAGTGCTCTACTTTTTGTTATCAGTAATAATTACAGAAAGCTGTATTAAATAAAGGTATTGCAGAATTTGTTTTTGTTTTATTTCACCAAGATCCCATTGAAAATTGAAGCAAAGTGACAGTAATAATTATTTCATTATTCACTTCAAAACCATTCGTGATTTGGTTTTGATGTCATTTAGATTATTTTGAACTCTATCAAACCACCAGTAGTAAAAATAATCATAACGCCTCGAGTTGAAACTCTGGAGAATACCTGAAGTATCTTCAACTGTTCGCGTCAAATCTTACAGAGCCAGGCATTCAATCAGAGTATACCAGGTGCAAAATAGCCAAAAGTCTGCTTAAGACAACCAGTAGTAACAAACGCTGAAACGAATTACAACAGGTCTAGGCAGATTAAGAATCTTGTAAGTTTGAAAATTACAGAGTGGCTTTGTCTTGATGGTAACACCTCAATCAGGGAAACAAAGAAGCGAACTCAGGTTCATAACTTCTTAGATGCTTTCTAGTCTGATGTTCAGCGAGTAGACAGGTCGTTGGCTGGAGGTTCAGGTTGTTTCAAAAGTTTCATTTGTTTTAATGTCTATGTTTTTGTAGCCCCATATCCCAATAAACATTGATTCAACTGTGTCGCGCTTTATACTGATTGATAGAGAATTTTGCACTCTATACATTGAATATATGGACACTGGCCCATCACAAACGATGTGTGAGATCGCGGAAGAACTGGGCGTTAGTTCCCACGCGGTGTTTGATGGTTTAAAACGTATTGGAAAGATAGAAAAGCGGCTGCCCCACGATTTGAAGGATTAACAAAAATTATCACGTTTCGAGGTCTGTTCTTTGCTTTTGCGCAACCACAACGATCATTTTTTGGATCGGATCCTCACGTGTGAGGAAAAGTGGATCCTCTACGACAGCAGGAGATATTCAGGGGAGGCTTAGCCTCCCAATAAAATTTGAGGCTATTCATCGCAATAAATTGAAACATATTGACAAATAATTTTGATTATTTTTTTTAAAATTGCTTGGTTATCATTACTTTACCATTAATTTTCAATATAAATACATAATATGTCTGAAAAAACACGATCACTCACTACGTAGTACGTACCACACTGTATCCTGCATCAACAAAACTCAAACGCACCGCCCATGAACTAATAACAAATAAACCATCACCCCGAAATAGTAGATAAATGCCATACGTTACAAGGGAGCCAAGCCTCCGACTGCTTTAAAATACACAGGCTCCACGAGACCGATCCAACCAGCGACATACGTCCCGATTTGTAATTTCAGTTGCAGAAAATAAAACGTTAGAGGAGGCTATCCTCCAGTTGGTTTCCGTTAGTGTACGACTGCGTTTGTTTTTTATTTAATTATTCGGACGGGATGCCGTGACGGACCGGTTGGTACGATAAATGCGATTGGTTAACCTGCTCCATTAAACGAGAAAAACTTTTTTGTTGGCCCTGTGTTTTATTTTCCGTACAAATCGAATACCAAACGTGGTCTAATATAGGATACTCCGATTTAAAAAATTTACCTTGTTCTACAGAAAGGCACTTTAAATCTAAGGAGCATATATTTTCGTCTTGTAAATTAAAATTGTTTAGCAAACAAAATATAGCAACAGCTATACCGTCTTGGTTAAGAACGAATGTTATGTTTACTTTTAGTCTCTTTTTTTCCTTCCTATCCAAAATTACAAAATACACCTTTCAAAATGCGGGACCCTCGCAGACTATATTGAACTTGAATGGCCGCCGATTGAAAGTAGTTTGCGGGTGCCTTGTGAATTCTCTTAAACAAACCAGATTTAACCTTCCTTTCTACCCCATCCTTCCTATCCCATCCTTCCTTTCCTTTCCTGGCAAGACACGACTCTCACCTCCCGTTGGTTCTTGCTGGGCAATAAAATTTACTTTTAGACCTGTTTTTACAAGCATAATTGAGTACTTGTGTTTATAAAATATTTGTAGCAATTTTTAACAAAACTGTTATATTAGAAGAGAAAAGTATTATTTATTGACTGAGAAGAGTTCATTTATATTAAATAAGTACAATTAAAAAAGAATGTTTTTTAACAGAAGAAAATGTTCCTGGAGCAAAACTGAAATTCGCAACTGTAAAGGATAACAATGTTGTAACATTAAAACGTTGGCTTGCATGCCGTAATTTAAAAGTAACTGGAAAAATAGTGATAAATTAATAGACAGGTTAGTATACAGACTCTAGTAAACGAGTAGCGGTAGATTCAAACTGTAATAAAAGAAATTTAAAATAATTATGAATTTCAGACTTATTTCCGAGTGAAATATGAATCAAATATAGATGGTAATGAAATAAATTTAATTAAATATAATGAATATAATTTAATAAACGATTGAGGTTATATCTCATTCTAATCAATTGTAATTAACTATGAAAAATTTACTATTCATTTCATGTTTAGAGCATACATATGAATATTTACTTATTTTTTGCACTGTTAAATCCACTCTCCTCGAAGTATGTATCCATTTCTTACATCTAACTTCATTATTATGAGGTTTCATAAATGGTATGAAAAACACGTTTTCTTTCAGATATCGATAATCCGACGTACAATTTGCAAAACAGCAATGCTTTGTTGGCATTATACTAGCACAAAATACTTTTTTATATCAGATTTATATTTTTAATTAATAAATTAATATTACGTAAATAACACTGTTTTACATGTGAAAAGTATTGTTTGTCCCTACTACTAGTGCTGCCTCTCGTGACTCGATTGCTGTACTATTCTCAGGAAAAAGGCTCATTCATCATCCACACAATTCCACCTTTACAAAATGAAAGTGATTCATGAACTCTCTTTCTCTAATTTTATGGACGTTGCTTCCCACTCGGGTGCATTCGTGCATTTGTCCAGGCTCCTCCTATCAAATCGACATCAATTTGACAAAAGCTCATTGGGAGAGGCGCAGCGGTCTTGCTCGAAGCAATTCCTGCCAGCCATTTTTTATCACACTTTTTATAATAAAAGACGATGTGCTTAACTGTTGCCTCCTGATCAGGAGACCTTTTGATTTTTTACATATATATTTATTGGGTCGCCTCCTCTTCGGGAGACCTTCTGATTTTTGAATTCAGATATATGGCCCTTTTACGTGGTTATCCAAACCACCCGGCCTGGATACCGGATACCACGACACAAAACGGAGCCCCACGATAGCACATGGCATCCGCGTACCTTCTTTGTGGACGGACGTTATCAGCACGTCCGTCCACTACCACGGCCACCACGAGACTTCCCCTTCATGCCTTCATGAACTAAACAAGATGATTATGACAGAAGTTTTGAGTTTTGTGAGGTCCTCTTGGAACGCGACTACCATGTTCTAGCTTTGTTGTACACCACAGTTTTTTGGATAAATGTATCTTCTCAAGGAGCTTTCCAATGGTTCTGCTGGTAGTGTTAGAGGATTAATGAAGAACATGGTTGCGCTTTCGTCATATTTTTTGTGTATCAAAAAGATAGGAAATGCCGCCTTCTTTTCGTTGCGTCAACTCAATATTTGACACCCTTAGACGTAACGGACGAGATCTCGGGCGCCAGACTTGCAAATTTTAAGTAACAAAAGACACCACTACACCGGGCAGCTACAGTGGAAGGAACGGTAATTCAGGAGTCTGTGTGAACTATACAAAGTCGGTAGTCAGAATCGACTTGACTTAGCTGGGAATTCAACCTGTTTACCAGCTGCAGATATTTTTCAATAACTCATAAAAAAAGAATCGAATAAATCGGTTTCAACTCTTCATTTAAACCAAATTAACTACTATACGGTCTGTAACTAATTACAGGGACGTGCAACGAAGTAAGTACGGAGACGACAGCGGTTCTAACGGAAGGCAGGAAACGCAATCGACTACGATTTATGAAGCAAGCGGGTATTGGAAGCTTTGTGCAATTAACCTCAAAAATAATGCCTGTTTCTCACCTACTCGAGCTTTATTCTTTAACCTCGAATTATGGATGAAGCTCCGGATTCCGCGCGCTCTACACCATATTTTTGATAGCGACGATAGCCGACAAGAGTACCGGAAACAAGAAAAGGATAGTCCAAGTGGCGAATACTACAAAGGGCCGCAAACTCGGAGAGGAGCTGACTCCTGGTCAGTGGCAGAAATAAGTAGGGTGAGGGGAACTGAAACTCCCCAAAAGCCTTTGCAAAACATGCCACCGTGGACCAGCCTACCCAAGCTAAGGTTTAAGGAATCGTGCAGACAGCTGAATGGCCGCAGGGTGATATGCGGTTACTAACGATTCCATTGGGGAATTGGGCGAAATCTCATTGTACCTAATCAGCCTTTCTCTGGTAATGCGAGGCTCTGCCAGAGGTGACCAACTCTTCCCTTGCTACTCGCTCCACATGAATGAAACAACCACAAAAACAGAAACAACAAAAACCAATCCCGAAGCTGGACAGAAGTGCTCACCTCAATCTAAGGCGGTGGATAGGGATGAATAGAAATGTCCACCCCAATCTATCGTTTGGAATGAGGCTGGACATAGATCACCTCGTGATGTAAGGCCAAGGCGTAAGCGCATTTGTGGCGCCGAGACCAAAAGTAGAAAAAGGCAGGAGTGGCATCAACTATAAGTGCACCTTCCAACAGCAAAGGCACTTCTTTCGGCGGGTGCCAAGAGCTCCGCCTTGAATAAAGGCAAAGAACCGGCTGCCCTTGCAGGAAATTTCCCTCACTTGTGCAACTCCATGGAGGGAACCCTAAGAAGGTTAAAGAAGCCGCGCAACGACAGTAATGTCGCTGCATCTTCGCGGAGACCACTCAAGGTTGCCAAAGAGAGTGTGGTTCGGCGAGTCTTGGCAGACACCTGCCAATATAAAGGAGATGTCTTCTAGTGACTTGTTCACCTTCCTGGAAAGGACAGGATGGATGATGACCTAGGAGAACAACTCCTCGGGAGGATGTACAATGGGTCACATGTGGCCTAAGTGCTGTGGGTCTATACTCACCCTCCCTACTCTATAGATACAGAACCTTCAGCTCTGACGAGGTTGTTCACGTCATCGCTCCACCAAAGCGGGTGCTATGGATGACGGTCGAGATCGCTAGAAATTATCCAGGTTTTCATCATTCGCGGAGCGGAACTAATGAAGATATCGAATTCCCGGCATTCTCCTGAATATTTTCCAGTAAAAAAATCATCTGAAACTTTTTATACCGAGAAATATCCGAGGTAAATTATTCTGTTTGAGACGTGAGACTTGTAGATTTAACAGATGCCACTGAAATAGTAATTTCCACAAAATATGGAACCTTATCGTTCTTCCACTGGACCTATTTTTATTCACGTTGAAAAAAAAAATCAGCAATTCAACGATCTAGTCAATATCTATATTTTTGCAGATTTCAACATATGCAGTCTATTGTAACAGAGTTACGCTATTTCAGGTTTATATACATTCAAATACTATGTACAACTTTTCAATAAATAATGATTTCACATGAAACGTAACAAAAATAAAAACAATTTATTTGCGGTTCAGTAGGAGCAATGCAAATATATCACCATTTAATGTATTCTCTATATTCTTCATTCACTGACACCCGTTTTATTGTTTCATACATGATTATGACGAGCGAACTGGAAGTGGCAGATTGGATGAGTCTAACACTTAGACCTTTGGTAAACATCTTGAGTCCTTCTTCGAGCCACAAGTTTCTGAATGCTGCCCCGAAACCCTCTATCCTTTGAACTTGCAATCTAGCTCTCACAATGTCCAACGGGTTAGTTAAAATCGTTGTTGTAAATCCACCGAGCGTACCAGCGACGCTTTGAATTAAGAGATGTGAAACCCAGAACGGCAGTATAGCAGCAAGTTCGTCTGGAATTATTGCGATATTAATATTGCACTTGTCACAAGTTGTTCAGAACAGATACATGAATAGACGTTTAAAATTGAGATAAAAAGTTTTAAATAATTCAATATTCAGAGAATTGTTATCGACATAGATGAAAAGGTTTGAAGGTCCCCACAATTTCCTTATGGAAAATGCCTTTCAACTAAATTTGCTGAGATTTTGCCTAGAGGTAGTTTTCAAAATGGCAATCGGATATCTCAAAGGGGCTAAAGAAGTGAGGATTTCTTTCAGACTGGCCAGTGGTGATTATGTATTTGACCCTGACCATGACCTTGTAGGTTATCTTCAAGGTTAAGGCAATTCTTATAAGTGGGAATCGTATTCTCCACTCAACAAAATTTAATTAGTCGACTTCCAAGATAGGCATTGGGAGGAAAGCAGTTGAGGTAAGACAATTGTCTGCCCAAAGTTATTCTTCAATATCTTTATAGTGAACTTGGCAATGACCTTCGAAAGTCACGTTTCTAAAATACTCAAGGACATATGTTATATGGAGAGTATATTTTATTGCTTTGTCCATTTTCAGATTGAAAAATAGGATTTCTGACATTTGAAAATTGACCTGACCTTGACTATTCAAGGTCATGGTTGAGTCTATGATCACCATTGGCCAGTTTGGAAGAAATTCTTTCAACACTGAGTTTTATAAGGTGAAATTACCCAAAAAAAAAAGACAATAGAAAACAGTTTCACTTCTTTCATGTCAATATTACTTTACATTATAAAGCCATCCCATCTTTTGATATGTCCTACATGAGGGACTCCTGGATTCCGTAGATGGTCAGGAAGGTGTTTCTCCAGGGTGACCCCATTTTCGATAAGGAAAGTGCACGATCCTTGCGAAATTGTGAAAGTGCCTAATACTAGGATTAAATTATGTCCCTTGGGTATGGGTAGCGGTCTTAGGTTTGAGTTTGAAAGTTTCGCAGATACGGTTCATTACGTTCATGTAAATTTTGAAATCTCTGACAAAGTTCTCTTCTAAATTGATTGGAAAACTTTGTGTAATCTTCAGACAGAAAGGACCTTCAAGTTGTTGAAATGACAGTATGATATTCAAATAATCCAATTCCACAACTCTGCCTTTTGTTGAACACAAAGAAGTGGTTTAAAGTCGTTTTGTTATCCATATAGAATAAAACATCACAATAAAACAAAACCTGTGGAGGTTACCTTGATAAATATGATAGAATCCCCACCATAATGCAGAGTTGGGCACATAAGCTGATAAACTAGCCCAATAACCTCTATAAAAACCAGCAATTCCGTCCATTTTAAAAATATGTTTGGCTAAGTCTACTGTCACGGCAAATTTACTTCGCCCAGGTTTCAAATTTAGTCCCAAATTATTAAATGCCTGAAAAATGTCTCTATTTGTACCTCTTAACTTTGTTGAATCAATAGTTACCTTTCCTTCCTGTCCTGTGATGCCCATCATCATTAAATGTTGGCTTAAGACATCGAAGGGAACTATGATTGTTTGGCCAACTAACGAAGCTGCTCCACCTGCTACTAGGGCTCTTAGGCTCGAGTTTATATTTCTTTGGTTTAAAACATGTCTAACACTTTCGTATGTTGAAACATAAACTACTCCTGAAATGATATGTTATTTAACATCCCAACTAATGAAAAAAAAATGTTTTACCAGTAACTATTTGTACAGATGATACCCAAAACCCTCTGTACAATCCAGAAAACCCTTCATGTCGATAAATTTTACCATAGGCGTCAAACATACCTGAAAGGTGATTTATTCAAAGGTGTACCTATAATTGTAACAATTCTGCTTACCTGAGTATAAGGCATTGCGTTTTTGAATTTGTAATCTGGTTTTAATTAGAGTCAATGGATACAGAGCGCATCTAACTGAAAAGGAACTTAACATGGATAATGGGAAAAATTTTGTTTTATCCATCATGTCCCATTCTATGGTTTTTATAAATTTCTTATCCTTCTCATCTTTACCTTCAAGAATAGTGTAAAAATCCATATTTGAATTATCTCTTTGATCACTTGCATGTTCCTGAGTATGGATTTTCTAAGAGGTACATTTTTTACGCAAGGTGAATTATTTTTTTTCTAAAACATATTTGTTGGGTCATTTTACGAAAAAAAAATTGAATCAGCTGAACTTTGACATTGCGTCATTAAAAAAGGAAAGTAAAAAGATAAGGATAATCATATTCTTCTTCTTATTATTTCATCATATTGGCGTATTTTGCCAGATTCGTAAGTAGGGTAGAGAAATTTACATCTCGAGGAGACCATTACCGCAAAGTATCACTGAAATTAACGCATAAATAACGATGATAAATAATTGGGTCAGATATCTGCTGATACATTTATTGATATATTCAGTGTACTAACAAGCAAGGTCATCTCAGCAAAAGTTCTCTACAAAACATAAATTTGTTATACAGTTTTTGATTTAGATTACTTATTCCGAAATCCAGATTTTCTGGGAATTATGAATTTTCTAGAAAATAGCTTTTGGGTTGGCTCATATAAACGGAAGAAACCAGTGATATTTAAATATTTTCGGTGTCGGTTCCTTGTAACAATAATCAACATCTTGTATGAAGTAACTTAGCAACTTCATGAATTTGACTGAATGCAGATAAAAGGTGAGAGAGCTACAATTGTAAGAAATTGTATTATCTATCTTGAGCTCAATCTTCCCGATCAATCAGATATAAAACACAGAATAAGTTTGTGTCGCCTTCGAATAGCTCATACAGAACTTACTCAAGAGTTTCTTTTACTTGAAAGTAAAGAACCAACCTATCGTTAATATGGTACTTCCTTGAATACTTCACATACTATCTGTGAATGTCCTATGTATTGAAAAAGTGTAACCCAAGACCAAAGAGGGCCTAGGTGATTCATAAGTGATAAAAAACAGTGACATTTTCAGAATCCTCATGTTTATATTGTAAAATCTATCATACAATCATTTGGCTAAATGGAAAGCAGCTGAAATTCTACCCCTGACCAATTTTTAATAGTCCTATTTCGATATTGTAAGGAGAATACATATTAAATATTACCCGCCATTTCATAGAAAACGTTAAAAGCATTGTCAAAACTTGGGAATTTTGTGATTGTTCAACATCATTAGGAAGTCAAAAACTGAATGATGAGAGGTGCCACTTTATCTGCATCCATTAAATGGAAGTGATGTCCTGTTCCTGGAATCATATGACGCTCCAATTTTTTTGCATTCTTCTCAGTTGCGTCCAAAATCATCGAATAATACTCTGTGTAATGCAAAACCATAGATCTGTTGGCCTTTATGTTCATAACTTCACAGGTGATTCGCGAAGCGAAGTCTAGTACTTGATTGATTCCCATGAACTCCTGTGAAGAATCCTTCAGTTTCAGATCCCGAGATAAAATGTAGCCATCCTTGCGAGGAACTTTTTTGATACCTCTTTTTAAAAGTATTTCACAACCTGCTCTGTCTATAGATCCCTCATATGTCGCAACTACAATATCGAGTAACTGCTCACGAGAGTAGCAAGGCAAATCCACAGTATTTTCGTAGCTCAAAATTTTGTCTATACTGGTTCCGAAGTCATCAAGTAGTTGTTCTGTAGGAAGCCTACCGCAAGGTCCTGCTGCGTCAAGGCTAATGAACTTCTTCACGTCATCCTGAAAAGTGGCCGAATAAAGAAAGCCTATGCAGCCTCCTAAAGAATGTCCAATTATAGTGATTTGACTCCACTTGAAATGTTTTACGATTCTTCTCAAATGGTGGACACCGTCCCAAAAAATGTAATAATTCTGTCCTTTCGGAAAGTGTGATGAAAATCCATGACCGGGAAGGTCGATGCACAGCACGGATAAACCATTTTTGGCCAGTAATGGCGCCAAATTGTCGAAGGATCCACAATTGTCCTGCCAGCCGTGGAGGGCGATAATGGGTTGCTCTGTTGTGGAACCCCACCATTTCCCTGTGAAAAATATGTTACGTTAATAACTGAATTCAAGGGGTAATAGGTACCGAAATCCAAATCCAAACAGAGATGGAAAGTTTGAAGACTTTATTGAGGAGAGATACATACAAGTTTATTTACTCTTGTCGTGCCCTTTAACCCACCCCAGGATAATGTTATTATCAACCGAGGCTTTGGCTAAATCTTGGTGACACTCTAGTACTAGCACTGAGGTTATACGTTGTCTGTTCAAGGCTAATAGGGCTTGTCTGCTGTCAGTGCAGATTGTTATGTTTTTGTCAGAAATTCCTTTCCTGGTTAGTTCTTTTGTGGCAATTGAGATACCAGCCAGTTCTGTTTGGACCACGCTGGTATTACTTCCCATTCCCCACTTAATGCTTAGTGATCTAGAATACACTCCACATATCCTGAGCCTTCTTTGGTTTTTGAGCCGTCTGTATATATGCGTATTGCATTTGTAGCATCTGACTCTGTGTTCTGTTCGATTTGTATTTTGTAGGGTTTCTTAAACGCAAACCTGGGTTCAATTGCATCACTAGTTTCCTGCAGCAGAGGTTGCCATTGCCGCGGTTGGTGTTGGTCTCATGGCTCTTGTGATGTTTAAACACGCCCGTCGCTGTATTTGATATAATTTTTGGATGACCGTTGCTTGTAGAACTTTCGGTCCCCATGCAATGGCTCCGTACGTTAACATAGGTATTATTATTGCAGTGTAGATCCAGGTGACCTCACGGGGTGAAAGACCCCATGCGCGTCCCACTGTCCTCCGACATTGCTCATAAGACACATATGCTCTTTTTGCTCCACTCTGTAGGTGAGAGTTCCATATTAGCTCCCTGTCGAGGATAGTACCAAGGTACTATCCTTACTTCAGAGAAGTTTACTTTGCTTTTGAAGATTTCGGAAGGTTCAATCTAGCAGACACTATTATAATGTTATAATATAATAATGTATAGTATAAGCAACACCTCATGCAAGTCTATAACATACTCTGCTTGTAGCTATAAAGCTTTCTAGAGTTTCTGACGGAATAAAAAGTTTTGGTCCCAAAAAAATATAACATTTCTGCCTTTTAGTTTTTTTTTAGTTCTGGATATCACATCGTTGGTTTTATGCTATATGTTGTAATGGTGCTGAAGAGGTACCAACGACGATTTATGTCTATACTGCCTCAAGAGGATCGCAAAAACAATTATCTGACTTACATTCATTATCGTCGTTTATCTGTACAGGCAAGATATAGACATAGATTCTATAGATATGTATCTATAGATACATTATGTAAGGTTATGATTTGATGGATTTGAATTAATTAGAAACTTTTTTCTTCTCAGAGCTTGTTATCAAAAGTTCCAACATACGTTCAAATTATGATACGATTCATTACTGATAATAATTTTTCCATTCACATTTTATATGTCTAGACTTACATTTGTATGTATTTTTCACAAGCTTTGTCCACAAAATTTATTCTTAATGACAATAAAGTATATTATTATTATTAATGAAGTTCAGAAGAATGTCAGAAATGTTGATTGTTCCTCAAAAAAAATACTCATTCGAAGGAAAGAGTGTCCCAAAGTGATATGAAACAATAAAATACGTGAAACAGAAATATTATTGTTATCTAAGGAACTACTCACCAGCAATATGACCCCAAGGTACCGGTATTTTCACTTCGGAAAAATCTAGAATAGATAATGAGTAAGTATTAGCATTCATCGATAAACAAGAATTGAACGTGTAAAACATTCCAACTCCCTTTTCTCCTCCCCAGGCAGGTTTATGAGAAAATAAACTCGAAGTGTGAAAATAACAATATCTAAAAATGCTCGATAAATAAAGTACGTCAAAAATTATAAATATTTCGGTGCGAGCATAAGTATTGAGAATCTACAAATGTCTGCACTCCTACATCTTCAGCCTCAAATTTACGTATACTTTTCCATTATTTCACTTACCTTTCATTGTTCTTTTGGTAGTTTCGATGGTTCGCACAATTTACAGTTTTTCTTATTTCTGACACAATCAACACACGTTCCAGACCCCTGCTTTCGTTCGAAGTGTAGGAATGAAATATAGTAAGCATTTGCTGATGAATATGCATCGCTAATTTGAAAAGTCATCGTTGTGGTATACCTACAGGTTGATATAAGTCATATCGGAATATATTTATTTCGAAAACAATAGCTATAGTCGATTGTTAAAGAAATAAGGTGAATTTTTATTTTTCTCAAAAAATATTCATTTATTCATCAGTTTCTATTTTGAACTCTTCGAAGTAGTCCCTCTCAGATATAATACACTTATGCTAGTTTTTTCCAATCCTCTCAGCAGTTCTGATATGCACTTTTTGGATTGTCTTGAGCTCTATCAGCGATTCGGTTTTTATCTTAATCGTCGCAAAATACCGTCCTTTCATAGCTCTTCAATTTTGGGAAGAGGAAAGAGTCGCAGGGGCCAAATCTGCTGAGGCATGATTACGGTGTTGTTTTTGACCAAAAAATCACGAACAAGCAATGAACATGTGAGCAGGTGTATTATCGTGATGCGAAAGCCATGAATGTTTTTTCACAGTACCGGACGGTATTATTGTATTGCTTCTCGCAAACGGCGCATAACTTCAAGATAATACTCCTTATTTACCGTACGAAACTTCATAAATATGGATGTAGAGGTGTAACGAACACTTGGTTCGAATCGTACCTTTCAAGGCGAAGTCAAATGGTGAGGACAAAGGAGCTCTGGTGTACCACAGGGTTCTGTGTTAGGTCCTATTTTATTTCTGCTATATATGAATGACATCTCTATTATTGACATATTTGGAAGTTTCACTCTATTCGCGGACGATACTACAATATTGTGGAATGAGAAATAGTCAGTGGAGCTGAATAAAATAATATCATCCGGCTTGAAGAAGGTGAAGAGCTGGTTATACATATTATACTGATATAAATCTTCCTCCAGAATCAATCTATCTTTTAAAAAACCCGCATCAAATTCCGTTGCGTAGTTTCAAAGATCTAAGCATACTTAGGCCCCTCGTCCACGGAGCAACTGGTTTCTGACTGATTAAATACTTGCATCACTTGTCAGTTTATTGCGCGTCTCTGCATGTAGATTCAAATCATATCTCGTACACGGACGTACCAGTCACAGATCGGTAGCGTACCTACTCGTAAGTGATTAGTCGCCAAGAGACTGGCAGTGTCGGTCGCCGAGAGACTTTTGCTTCAGTTTCCGTTGATTTTTTCAAGAAAAAGACGAATGAACAAAGTTTGAACTTAAAATTTGTCCAGAAAGTGGAAAAATTTCCTTGTTTGTACAATTATAAATTGTCACAATACTCCAGAAAAGATATTACAGAAGGAGCATGGAATATAATAGGAAAATGAATGAATATATCCGGTGAGTATATTTTATATTGATTATTTTTATAAATAGGTAAAAAAATACATTGATAGAAAATTTTAAATTTTAAGTTATAACGTTCCATTACCATGGATGTTGTGCAAGTGGAGTCAAAAAGTAACTTGCTAAATGATCTCTTAAATTAAATGCTGTTGAATGATTATCAATATGTAATATATTTTCTTGCTGTATTTGTTGAATTATGGAAAAATCTGGATTATTTTGTTTTTCTTGCACATTTAATGCGAATGGTGCACTTTCATTTTTTCGGACAGAATTATGAAGAATACATACGCATTTAATTATATGAATGACTGTCTGTAATTTGAGACACCGTGTAGGCGTCTCTAATATTTGAAATTTTTACGACGCCATGCCGAATGCACATTCAATGGTTTTTTACCAAGACTTAATCTGTAATTAAAAATGCGTTTTTTGTTGTTTAAGGAACGCTGTGAATAGGATTTCATTACATATTTCAAAATTTGTTGTTTTACGGGTGTTATTTTGTTTCAGGGGCTGCCTGTAAGGAGAAATAGAAGAATCTACGGGCAGTTTTTGTAAGGCATATGAAACCTGCCCCAAGTAGTTCTAGTGCAAAAAAAAACAATACTACCTAACAGACGTTATCCAGTTTGTATAACCATATGTCAAAACCGCAATACCGTTACATGCTAGTAATTTACCAGAAAAGAATACTATAAATTCAGACGACAAAGCTTAAACTTGCGGTGAACCGTCTTTAGAAGATCGTGAAGCAGCCTAAACCGAGGCATCGAATTATCAACCGAACAACCCGTTTTTTCAGACAGAGCAATGCAGTTCTGATGTAACAGAAATAAATCTACCGTCAGCTGAGGTGCCTCATTCACAAAACCGTTCAATACCTCTAACGAAAATAAGCAAGCGTAAAAGGCCTCTAGATGAGGTGGATAGAACTTTTTTGATAATTTCATGAAGGAAAGGCAAAGGCAAGTCGGGGAGTCAGAAAATACACGCAAAATGTTCCTTCTGAGTTGATTGGATGAAATCGCCAACATGTCAGATCAACAATGGAAAGTATTTGAGGGAACACTGAATGTAATAGATGAAATGATGACTCCATCAAGAACATATATGAATCAGTTTCAAGATAGTTTGCGGACATCCTCTGATTTGTCAAAAGAATATATGGTTACAGTGGCATCTCCCCCATATTCAGATAGTGCTCAGATTTCTTTTCCCTCCAATGATAATTAGACTGATTCATACTCCAGAGACAGACAAATCGCGATTGATTCATCGTTGCAAAATACTTCTATTGGACAAGATTTTTTTTCCCTTTAGATGTGTTAACAAGTGGATAAATACATAATACTTTGATTGAATAAATACATTTTTTCACTTACCACAAAGTTATCATTATCCTTTCTTCAGGACTAACGCATTCCCTCATATTTGTATTACTTTTAACAATTGCAGCACGAATTCTATTTACAAGGAGTCTATAGGTTTCTTTGCTCATTCATTCATCTAGTTGCAATTCTGAGGCGGCTACAAATAATTTACAGTTTATATTCCTCTCTATGCAGGGATGGACCTAGAATCGTCTTCTTCTGCGTCTATATCTACGATTGTAGTTGTACAAAATAGCTATCTCATCCAGATCATCCATAATTTATCACAACACAATAAAGTACAACTAAAAGTAAACAGGAACGTTGTAAGAAATAATCGGTTGGTATACCAATAATACTTTTCTAGTTATTTTCGCATCGCTAAAGTGTACGTGAACCGAGTATCCAACTGCATCGTTACTAAATTATTATTGAAGTTTCATCGAAAACAAGTTGCTCCGTGGACGAGGGGCCTTAGGGACAGATAGAGGGAAGTGACTTTGTTTTATACTATGTAGTGATTGTTCTAAGCTACCGAGGTTAACGTTACAAGAGAAACATTTTCAAATTTTCTCAATCAAAAAAACCTTCACAAGACGAATTCTAAGTTGTTGTACTCATCATTATTGACGCCAACATTATTCGAAAAGAAATAAATCTCTTTTTGAAACAGAACTGAACTCTGAAACACCTTTTATACAACTTGTGTGCCACTACTTTTTCTCTCATAACGGTCGTGTATACCAATCTTCTAAGCATACATCCCACCCACCTGCAGCTTGTTTCGTCGATCCCTTGCCTCCTCGACGCCCAGATAGTTGATTCTGGAGACGTATAAAATGCGCCCTCACTACTGAAGAAAGAACTTAAAGTACTTCCTTGTTCTTGTAAGCATATTCTGCTTTTTCCGTGACTAGGCATAAAGCCGTTTCTGTTGACATACCTAACCTGTACGCATGTTGGTCTCGATGTAGTAGTCTTTTAACCAGAGCTATTAAGTTATTTCAAAAGATTTTGGACTCGAGGATGAGCCCCAAAGTGGTCGACCAACAGTAATCCTGGACGAGGATTTGAGGACCCTGGTGGAGACTGACCCATCACAAACGGTGCGTGGGATGACGGAAGAACTGGGCGTCAGCTTCAATGCGGTTTTTGATGGTTTGAGACGTAATGGAAAAGTCATACAGCTTGAAAAGTAGGTGCTCCACGATTTGAACAATCGACAGTAATAGTCACGTTTCGAAGTATGTTCACCTTTGCTTTTGCGAATCCAAAAAGATCCTGTTTTGAATCAGATCGTCATGTGTGATGAAAAGTGGATCCTCTACAACAGGAGACGTTGAAGACAGTGGTTGGACGCCGATGAGCCACCCAGGCACTTCCCAAAGCGAAAACCCATGATAAATAAAAACCATGGATACTGTATGGTAGTCATTATAGCAGAGTCCTACTGTGAGAAACTCGACGAAATGTACAGAAAATTGCGTCAGCAGCAGCCGGCACCGCTCAGCAGAAGAGGTCCGATTCTGCTCCTCGACAACGTCCGTCCGCACGTTTCACAAATCATCATCTGAAAATTAAACGAATTGAGCGTCGAAGTTCTGCCCCACTCACCATACTTCCCGGACCTCTCTCCAACCGACTACCATCATTTCAAGCACTTCGATAACTTTCTCACCGGTAGAACCTTCGCCAATTAGGATCAGGCAAAAACGGCCTTCGTCGACTTCATCGAATTTTGGGCACGCAATTTTTATGCTGAAGGAGTTAATCGACTTGTGTTACGTTGGCAAAAGTGAACTGATCCAAATAACGTTTATTTCGAATAAATTGAATAAATATTCACTGAGATATTATCTACTATTTTCTATGCAAATGACATGAGACTGATTAATCTCTAGGCCTTCGCCAAATCCTGCCCAATTTTTCCTCCTTTAAGTGTGAAGATGGCTCTAATCTCCAATCATTCACAATATTTTAGGTATGTATCTCAAAGCCAGACTACCACTGAGGATTACTAACCGTTTTTTGCAGCATTACTGGATAAATGTTATCTGGTTCAGGCGACCAACGAAATTAGTTTACAGTATATCTAACTATTCAAAAATATTTTTTAAATCTATCCCCCTCTTTGTCACAAGCCAATTCTTCCTGAACCCCCTCTTGGTACAATATTGGACACAGTAATATTCGTGAACAACAAAAACTACTAGAAATATTGCAGAATTTTATATAACTAGCTGACCTGGCAAACGTTGTTTTGCCTGATAAATTATTTCTATCAGAACAATAACACTTACAAATAATATTGATCCCTCAATGCATTGAAAATGCTGGCTTCGACAACGTTTTTCGTCAATTTTTCATTGACTAATCGTCAATGGTGGATTCAAATTACGGAGCGATCCAACCTTCAGTTGCAAAAATGAGTTCAAACACTCTATTGGATAATTCACAGCTTCGGTGGCATTGCAAAATGTATCTACGCTCGATTGATAAACAATAATAGTGACCAAAAACTGTGTAGGCATTGAAAGAAGGCTTATTGTGAGAGACAGTAGACCGGCTTCGTTCTCATCCATACACCGTGCTGTTTACTGAGTGAGAAGTAACACCGGTAGCCGTCTGGCGAAAATAACTGATCTATGATCAGCGTTGAAAATGGTTAAATTATTAAAATGATCATTAAAAAAGAGGAATTGGTGATAGGAGGGTGAAAAATGCTGGTTATATGTATTTTTTAATGCCACAACACCAATAAAAACAAAAAAATCCAAAAAATGAAAAAAATAAATTCGGGTGGAACACCCTCATCACTAAGGGGTAACTCGAGAATTTTATATATTAGATTTCGTTTGATTAGTCGTTTCAACGGCCTGTCTTCGTTGAAGAAACACATCATGATATCATTATTTACAATAAGTATACATTCGATAGTGGAACATTTTTCAACTGAGTAATTCGATAATGGAGAAGAAGAAGAACTTTATTTCCAGATAGGCAAGCCTAATATAAACATAATTAATGTACTTTATTTAAACATAATATATAAAAATCAAAATTGTAATAACAATATACATCCAATATAAAATTCTACATCATTGGGATATCAAAAACTTGATGATAATAGGAGCAATCTCATTCGCATTCATTAAATGCAAATAATGCTCACTGCCTGAAAGTAAATGCCTCTCTAACTTTCTTGAATTCTTCTCAATCGCATCCAGGATCATAAAATAATATTCGGGATGGTATGATTTTGAAATTGCGTCGCTCCTAATATTCAAAACTTCACAGGTGATCCTTGGAGCAATGTCCAATACCTGAGAAATCGGCATGAACTCCAATCCAGAGTCTTTCAGTCTCGGATCTCGAGACAAAATATAACCCTCTTTATTGCTTGCCTTCTTTATTCCTCTCCGTAGCAGTACTTCACAACCAGCTCTATTGACTGATCCATCAAATGCCATTAAGAAGATATTGAGTAGCTGATCTTTGGAGTAGGTCGGCCACTCCCCGGTAGTTTCATTGTCCAAACCATTTTCTATACTGGTTCTGAAATATTCGAGAAAACGGCCTGAATCGAGTCTGCCACAAGGACCTGCCATATCGAGGCTTATGTATTTCTTCACGTCTTTGGGAAAAGTAGCTGCATACAAAAAAGCTATAGAGCCTCCCAAGGAATGTCCAATTATCGTGATTTCCCTCCACCCGAAGCGCTTCACGATTCTTCTCAGGTAGTGGACTCCATCAAAAATAAGGTAATAATATTGTCCTTTCGGTAGATGTGATGAAAATCCATGACCTGGAAGGTCAATGCACAGCAGGGAGAAGCCCTTTTGGACTAGCAGCGGTGCCAGATTATCGAAGGAACCGCAATTGTCTAGCCAACCGTGGAGTGCGATGATTGGTTGCTCGTTTCTGGAACCCCACCATTTGCCTGTGAAAATTTAGTTAATATTAATTATGGTTAACAAAATGGTTGAGGCTTTTGCGGCACAGGTTTTCAGTGTCACAATTTTCAATCGGATTTGAAGGCCATCGATTTTTGAAATTTCTTCCTGACGTTCCGCTGGGGAGTGGCTAGTTTCTTTAGAGGTTCATACATCTTGAGTTTATACCCGATGGCTGAGTACTCTGACTGCGTAATACCTATACCTGTATTAAGTAAATTGCCAATAACATTTGTCGACCATTTTTTCTACCTACCGTCATGATGTTTGTTATTGTCAAACTCCTTCGAATGTGATTCCATATTCGGTTGAGGTTCACAGCTTCGTTTTATCTGTGTTTGTAGATCTCTATTGCTTCCCGTACCAGTCGGCTATAATATTCCTGGTTGGAGGCAATGAGTTCCGTGTTTTCGAACAGAATCATGTTGTTTTCTTCATTGAGTGCCGCTATAGCCGACTTGTCTGTTTGGCCTAGTCTGAAATTTCTTTCATGCTCCTTCAGCCGTGTTTTCATGGATCTTTTGGTGGTTCCGATGTATACCTCCCCACAAGTGCACGGGATGCGATAGTGGGTTTCTTTGGTCTGAGGTTTTGTTGTAACGGTTTCAAAACCGTTTTAATGTTGTGCTTTCCCAAGAGTTTTCCAATTCTATCCGTGACCCTAGAGACATGGCAGGTACGTAAGTGCAACCATCTGAGCCTTCTCCCCGTTTTGAACCTTGGAACTCTTCAGTTTCATGGCCTTGTTGCTCTAGAGTACACTGTATCCAGTCGATCCCGAAGTCAGCTTCAAGTATATCAGCACACCAAAGTATCTGATTCAACACTCTTCACGCAGTACCTAGTCACAGTCATCGGAGATGAACTCAAGATGTCAAGAAGTCAAATTCCAATAAATATTTCAAGTTAGATCACAGATAACAGCAATGTACTCTGATCGAAAGCAAATACTTGTTCGTGACAAAACTTAATGAGCCAATCACTGGGTGTGTCTGTAATCAGGTCGATAGGGAAGAATTCCTTCCCTATTGTGAAAGTGATGGAAGGACTTACGTTGTTGGTGTGCTTCAGGAAAGTGTCTAGTTCTGTATTCCCATGGTTCCATATTATGAAGGTGTCGTCAACGTATCTCAACCAGACTCAGGGCTTCTCTTACTTTTGTTAGCATTTGTGTGTTATTTTTGTTAGGATATAAACGTAATTGTCATGAAGAATTTCATCAGGAATGAATAATGTTTCAAGTTATCTCTTGAATTTGATTCATTTCTATTTATTGTAACTTGGTCTTTGAACGTCTATTTACAATATCTCTAACAAAATAAAAACTTTTGAAGGTATTTTCTGTTCATATAATAAATGCAACTTACTCAAACATCACATACAATGTTGATTTGAAAATCACAGCAGTGAGAGTATTTCACATAACATCCATTCATCTTTCATTTCAGCAGCTCTTTTCAAGCCTTTTTGAAAAGCAAGGACGATTAGTACCAAGATTATTCAAGTCCTTTGTGAGGAAATATTTCTACTTCTCAGAAGTTGACATTTACCTCAAATAGAATGTTTCTCAACTAAAAAGGGATTGCAAATCATAACCACAGCAGAATACAACCAGTAGGCTCTCTTATCATATGTTCAGTGCTTTAGTATCAAAGGATTCGACGGTCCCGCGGGCATCGAATTAGTTATAATATTCCGGTCGGAAATTGATATTGTATTTAGTTCATTCGCTATTGTTATTATTGTTTTTAGTTTCTGTAGTTGGTTATTGTTGTTTGTTTTATTATTAAGTGATTAGAAAATGGGAGATGTACAAAAGACATTATTAAAGTAGTCAGGAAATGTTTGCTGCTTCAATGATTGCAAAAACAAGGCCTACAATTATAGTGAGAAATTTTCAAGATTCCCGAAAGATCAAGAGATCCCTAATAAGTTGTTCAATATGTATGACTTTTATTCGAGGACAAAAATATGGCTTGAATTATGCTGCAGATATTTATCTGGACATCAAAGTCAAGTACTGATATAGGTATGATAATGTCGTTTATAATTACTATGTTATTAAACAATAATAAACAACACCTTTCACTGTTTTGCAATTTTCAATTTAAGGAACACCTGGGACAGACGACACATCATTATTAGATTTGTCCATCTCTTCTGCTTCAACGTCATCCCTAATATCTTGTTTTTTGTTATTTCACATGAGTACTTGTTTACAAGACTTTATATGTACATATCAACATTATAGAAAAAAAATTATTCAAGACATGAAAGAAAGAAAATGAAACAAAAAAAAGTACGCCTTTAAAACTGCCGTGAACATTTTTCTAAATGGTCACTGGCCGGATTTTTTGCTTGGGCTGGCCGGGCGGCGATATCAACACATGTGTGGACTGCATGTTTCATGGCTTGGGCTCTGAGGTTAGGTTAGGTCTGAAGTGAGTGGGTCTATTTGACCCTCCACCGCGACCCGCAAGGGTTTATTGTGGCTCACACCTATTGACACTCGGCCAAACGAAGCTGATTAGTTTGTATGGTGAGTGGTCTTTCAGGTCAAATGATGAGAGTACGGCTCTGGCTAACTTCAAAAACCTGATTCGGTCCCCAGTGAGGCAGGCACAAAGTATATGCTCTGCTGTTTTCAAAACAGAGGTGAGACACACTGTCTTCCGACAGTCCGAGTCTCTGTATATGTTGATGTTGATGTAAGAAGGTCTGTTAGACATTGTAGTTCATGTCTACTGTAGTCCAACATCTGTTTGGTATCAAGCTTCGAAGGGTGAATGAACGTCTTGGAATGAGCCAATCCTGGAAGATTCTGCCAGAAGTCCAAGAGTCTTCTTGCCATCCAGGTGTTAAAAGTTTGTTTGGCAAAGCCTAAAGCGATGCCAATAACAGATCCGATGGAGCTGCTTGCAGCACCCTCCTTTGCAAGGGAGTCAGCAGCTTCGTTGAAGTCTTCCTATCGAGGAGAGTCGTTTTTGGCAATTTGCTACCAATTTAGACGTTGCTCGGTAGGAGCCAAGAGATACCAACGCCGCTTGACTGTCCGAGAATATTTTCATTGACTTGTGTGTGAGGTTGGATTTATCCAATCTCTCCGCACACAATTCAATAGAGTAAATTTCCGCTGAAATACAGTAGCATAAGTTCCTAGGCAGGTAGATATCTCTGTCCTGGTTCTGTGACTAAAAACACCTGCACCAGAACCGGAAGGTGTTTTGATCCATCTGTGAACCAACAACTATCTGCTCTTAATATTTCCTTCTCCCGGAGGATCCAGTCCTCTCTGCCCGGGAATAGTACTTCATCAGGCATTTCGTAGTTTACAATTGGAGGCATAAAGTCAGAGGTCATTTCCACAATGCTGTGACTTCCAGTGTCAACCAACAATCGGTTGCACTTTGCATTAAATTGATTTATGCAATTGGCTATGTGCACAAGTCTGTATGCAGTCCATCTAGCCTCTCTCTCAAGAAAAATGTGGAGAGGAGGTAGAGCTGAAAATATATCCATGGCCGCTGACGGTGTGGTACTGATGGCACCACTGATAGCCAGACAAGCCTGTGTCTGTAAGCCAGAGAGCTTCGCTTGGGCCGTTTTCTGTAAAGCGTTCGGCCACCAGGCAGTTGCACCATAAGTGATCATTGGTCTAACAATCATCACATAAATCCAGTGGATTTATTTGGAACCTAAACCCCAAGTTTTACCACAAATCCTTCGACATGTCCATAGAGACAGTCTGGCTTTGTGTAAAACTTTTTCCAAGTGAGCGTTACAGGTGAGTTTTTATCAAGGACAATGCCAAGATATTTCATCTCCGTTTCAAATGGAATGACCTCACCATTGAGGGAAAGTGTAAGTCTTCCTATCGAGGAGAGTCGTTTTTGGCAATTTGCTACCAATTTAGACGTTGCTCGGTAGGAGCCAAGAGATACCAACGCCGCTTGACTGTCCGAGAATATTTTCATTGACTTGTGTGTGAGGTTGGATTTATCCAATCTCTCCGCACACAATTCAATAGAGTAAATTTCCGCTGAAATACAGTAGCATAAGTTCCTAGGCAGGTAGATATCTCTGTCCTGGTTCTGTGACTAAAAACACCTGCACCAGAACCGGAAGGTGTTTTGATCCATCTGTGAACCAACAACTATCTGCTCTTAATATTTCCTTCTCCCGGAGGATCCAGTCCTCTCTGCCCGGGAATGGTACTTGATCAGGCATTTCGTAGTTTACAATTGGAGGCATAAAGTCAGAGGTCATTTCCATAATGCTGTGACTTCCAGTGTCAACCAACAATCGGTTGCACTTTGCATTAAATTGATTTATGCAATTGGCTATGTGCACAAGTCTGTATGCAGTCCATCTAGCCTCTCTCTCAAGAAAAATGTGGAGAGGAGGTAGAGCTGAAAATATATCCATGGCCGCTGACGGTGTGGTACTGATGGCACCACTGATAGCCAGACAAGCCTGTGTCTGTAAGCCAGAGAGCTTCGCTTGGGCCGTTTTCTGTAAAGCGTTCGGCCACCAGGCAGTTGCACCATAAGTGATCATTGGTCTAACAATCATCACATAAATCCAGTGGATTTATTTGGAACCTAAACCCCAAGTTTTACCACAAATCCTTCGACATGTCCATAGAGACAGTCTGGCTTTGTGTAAAACTTTTTCCAAGTGAGCGTTACAGGTGAGTTTTTATCAAGGACAATGCCAAGATATTTCATCTCCGTTTCAAATGGAATGACCTCACCATTGAGGGAAAGTGGCGTTAGATCATCCAATTTTCTCCTCTTGGTGAAGGGGTTTAACACAGTTTTGCTGGGGTTGACAGACATCTGCTCCCTCAGGCACCAACTGTGAACAACGTCCAACGCGCTTTGGAGGATATTACAAGCTACCCTACCCGACGTGGACCTTGTCAGGTATAAGTTGCAGAACAACTTTTCTTCTGTCGAGGGCATCAAGCAGACTATCCATCAGGAGCGACCACAGAAGGGGAGATAGTACCGCACCTTGAGGGCAGCCCCTGGTAACCCTGAACCTCGCCTTGAAGAGTCGTAGTTGCAGTTCTGTTTACTAGCATGGCATAGATCCAGCCAGTTATGGTCGACTCTATACCCTTCCTAGCCAGAGACAATCCTATAGATTTAGGTAGTGCATTGTCTAATGCTTCTTCAATATCAAGAAATACAGCGACCGCAATCTCCTTGTTTTCTCAACGAGGTTGTTTAATGCTAAATCTGTCGATTTGCCGGTTTGATAAGCATACTGGTGGTTATTCAGGGGAGATGCATATAATGCTACCCTCCTGATGTGTCCGTTCAGTATCCTCTCAAGTCCTTTCAACAGGAAGGATGTAAGGCTGATTGGTCGTACCAATTTAGGGTGAAGAGCCGGTGAAATCGCCATACGGAATAAGTAACTTACCACAGAATCTTCTACAATATCCTTAAATTTTGTTTTTATATGAGCGCACGCCTATGGTAAAAGAACGAAATCGGCTCCGCACTTCTTTCCGAGGTCACCGAGGACTTTGTGAATTTATTAATGAAAGTAGTGGGAGTTGACTCACCGGTTGATTATTCTTACTATGTTATAACCTTGAATAAGACAACACTGTTTTGCTTCGACTGATGGTCAAGAAGACTAAGCTCCTACGTTACACGAAAGAAAATATACTCGCCTGCGATATGTCCCCAAGGTACCGGTATTTTCAACTCAGTAAAATCGGCCTTGACTGAAAAAAAATTGTCAATTAATTCGAAAGTAAATTATTATCCACAGTGTGTAAAACATATGAAATAATAGTGGTTTCACAATGACTTTCCTCAAGTTTTTCTCTTTGATCTTCATTTCAATTTGGTCTAATTTTTGTCTAATGTAAATTTACAAATTTTTGGGGTTCGAAATCTGAGTTACAAAAGAACGTCTATGCCACAGTCTTTCAAATACTGAGTTATTATCAGAATAGTTAGAAGTAGACAATCAGGTGAGTCTCAAGAATAAATTGAAATGAATCAGTAGATTTCTATTTCCCGGATGAAAATGATGAAATATTCGTTTATCACCCACTTCTGTGTCTTTAAATTCATGAGGTTTGTTGAACAAATAACAAGAGTAAGTTCACAAAAGATATTTTGAAATTAAAAGAACTTTTCTTTCAAAAAGCTCATGCCTTAGATTGAAACATATTTATTGGAAAGATAAAATTAGAAAAAAAAACATGCTCAGACGAATTCATTCGAGACAGTTGACACGAATAATAAATGAGTTTCAAGACGTCACGTTTGTTTTGAACATTTCAAACTGGAGTTTAATTCCAACACCAAACCGTTATTTTTAACACCTCAACACGTGTTTCAGTCACCAAGTGATCATCTTCAAGAGGAACATTAAACATTTTAGTTACCTGTATTTTTCGCCTCCATGGTTCATTCAATACTGAAATTACTTTGCATTGAATACAATCACGTTCACTTTGTGTTTTAAACCTCTGATCCTGAATTAATTCTACTTCATCATTTACTTGAAGTGTAGACGAAAAACAGAGTGCGTAAAAATAGTTGAGATCGTTATAATACTTGTGATGCACTGTTTAGAACCTTTGATGTAGTAATGAATATTACTGGAGTTTTTTTTCCAACACCAAACCGTTATTTTAACTTCAAGAAGAAGATTAGTTTCATCTTCCACTTGAAGATGATCACTTGGTGATCAAAACACGTGTCGAGGTGTTAAAATAGTGCTCCAAAACATTATCATGAATATTGCACGTGATCTTCCAGAGTCGCACAAAGGAACAACCGAAATTTCTTTTTTTTAAATAATATGCGGCTTTGTATAGTTTTTTTTTAATTAGCAGTTTCTTCAACCGCTTCAGTACTTGACATTTTGAAAATTTTAAACTTCAAAATACCGTATATGTACACACCATAACTGGCTGGGTCTATGCCATGCTGGTAAACAGAACTGCAACTCTTCAAGGCGTGGCCATTAGGTTCAAGGTCATCAGGTGCTGCCCTCAAGGTGGGGTACTATATCCCCTTTTGTGGCCCCTCCTGTTGAATAGTGTGCTTGATGCCCTCGACAGAAGAAAAGTAGATCTGCAAGCTTATGCAGATGACCTTGTCATCTTCGCAAGATCCACGTCGGGAAGAGTAGCTTGTAATATTCTCCAAAGCACGTTGGACGTTATTCACAGTTGGTGCTTGAGTGCCTGAGTGCCTAACGTTACTTTTCCTCAATGGTGAGGTCATTCCATTTGAAACGGAGATGAAATATCTTGGCATTGTCCTTGATAAAAAACTCACCTGTAACGCTCACTTGGAAAAAGTTTTACACAAAGCCAGACTGTTCCTATGGACATGTCAGAGGATTTGTGGTGAAACTTGGGGTTAAGGTCCCAAACAAATCCATTGGATTTATGTGATGATTGTCAGACCAATGATCACTTATGGTTCAACTGCATGGTGGCCGATGGCTTTACAGAAAACGGTCCAGGCGAAGCTCCCTGGCTGACAGAGACAGACCAGATAGGCTGGTCTGGTCATCAGTGGTGTCATCAGTACCACACCGTCAGCGGCCATGGAGATCCTTCTAGATCTACCTCCACATTTTTCTGGTGAGAGAGGCTAAATGGACTGCGTGCAGACTTATGCAGATTGCCAATTGCACAAATCAATTTAATGCAGAGTGCAACAGACTGTTGGTTGACACTGGAAGTTACAGCATTGTGGAAATGACCTCTGACTTAATGCCTCCAACTATCAACTATAAACTGCCTTATAAAGTACTGTTCCCGAGTAGAGAGGACTGGATCCTCCGAAAGAAGGAAATATTAAGAGCAGATAGTTGTTGATTCACAGATGGATCAAAAACACCTTCCGGTTCTGGTGCAGGTGTTTTTAGTCGCAGACCAAGGACAGATATATCTACCCGCCTAGGAACCTATGTGACTGTATTGCAAGCGAAAATTCACACTATTGAATTGTGTGCGGAGAGATTGGTAGAATCCAACCTCATACACAAGTCAATAAAAATATTCTCGGACAGTCAAGCGGCGTTGGAAGCTCTTGGCTCTTACCGAGCCACATCTAAATTGGTGGCAAATTGTCAAAAACGACTCTCCTCGATAGGAAGACTTAAAAGATTGTCTGTGGTCTGGATTACTAGCCATACTGGCCTGGAACGTAATGAGGCTGCTGACTCCCTTGCAAAAGAGGGTGCTGCAAGCAGCTTCATCGGACCAGAACTTGTCATTGGCATCGCTTTAGGCTTTGCCAAACAAATATTGAACACCTGGATGGCAAGAAGATTTATGTACTTCTGGCAGAATCTTCTGGCTCACTCCAAGGCGTTCATTCACCCTTCGAAGCTTGAAACCAAACAGTTGTTGGACTATAGTAGGAATGAACTACGATGTCTAATAGGCCTTCTTACAGGTCACTGTCATTTGAATCATTATATGCAAAAACTCGGACTGTCGGAAGACAGAGTGTGCCGCCTCTGTTTGGAAAATGATGAAACAGCAGAGCATATACTTTGTGCCTGCCCCGCTGTGGACCGAATAGGGTTTAAAGAGTTCGGCAGAGAAGTACTCTTTCCATTTGACCTGAAAGACCATGCACCATACAAACTAATCGGATTCGTTAAGAAGATGGGTTTATTTGGTCAAGTGTGAATACGTGTTAACCACAATAAACTCTTGCGGGTTGTGGTGGAGGGTCGAATAGACCCACTCACTTCGGAACTAACCTTACCCAACCATATGTACACACCAGAGGCGTTAAAACGTAACTCACCACTCCGACCGTGTAGCGATATTCCTGCATGAAATCGGCTGGCAGAGGCCGATTTCAGTTAAATATAATTGGTCAGCGTGGGGAGACTTGTTTATTTTATCCAAATTTACGTTGTGATCATTGTTTGGGTTACTTTGTTTGTTGAATGTACAGAATTTGGAGTTCAGTTACTAGTGGATTTCTCTAGAAATGAAAAAATATATTGCTTTCACTGCAATTTATAGATTTCCCAGTACACGTTTATAAATTTGCAATAGTGATCTCTTGATTTATCTAGAAAACCACAGATTCAAACATAAAACAAAGAACAAGAACACACCTTCTCGACGAATATGACACTGAAAAGTCCAAAACTATAGTGAATTCGTTTGATTTTATCTCATTCATAAATAACATTATAATAAAACTAAGTTTTTTCAGCTTTAAAAAATACATCTATATTTGAAGTTATGGCCATCTAAGTGAAGTTTAATTTTTTACCCATTTTTTTCAAATGGGGACTATGAAAAGGAAAATTGGCTAAAACAATAAATTGACAGCATCCTGTATACAACGATTAATTTTGAACGCCTATAATATTACGAATCACACAACTATGGTGTTAACCACGGTTAATTTTTTTGGAGAGTAAATAATTTTCAAAGTTTTTGGTGAAAGTTATTTTTATTTTTTGATAACAACAAAAATTATTCAAAATAATACAATATTGTAACACCAACTTAACATTCAATAATATCAAATTTCAAAACATCAAAATAAAATAGGTATTTTGGAAAAAACTCATTCATTTTCTAGAGATTATTTTGGGGAATTATTTTGGACAAGAAAATCTCCAGAAAATCAACGAGTTTGTTCCGAAATACCTATTTTATTTTGATGTTTTGTGATTTGATATTATTGAATATCAAATTCTTGTTACAGTATATAGGTACTGTATAATTTTGAGTAATTTTCGGTGTCAACAAAAAATAAAAATAACTCCGCACCAAAAACTTTGAAAATTATTTTAATCTTCAAAAAAATTGACCGTGGTTAACACCATAGTTATGTAATTTGTAATATCACAGGCACTTGAAAAAAAATTAGTAAAAAAAATTAAATTCCACTTAGATGGCCATGACTTCAAATCTAGATGTATTTTTCAAAGCTGAAAAACTTTTCTCAATAACATTTCCCGAGATTATGATAAGAATTAATTTTTTTCTATATCTCCAATGTTGCGGATAAGAATGAATACTTATGATACATCATTGAGAAGTTAAAATCTGCTTCTATTCAAAACAGAAAGAATCCAATATAGCGTCCATAAGAAAAAATAAAGTTGATGGTGGTGGCCGGAAGACGAAACCTCGGATATCAAATCTGAAAACACTACTATGTAGCAGGGAAAAGTGGCAACGTGTAAGTGCAATTTATTTTCGAATCCTTCGAAAAATAAAGCCCCAAAAAAAACATTTTTCGAAATTTCTGTTTTTTTCGGATATAACTCGGGATTTCAGAACTTTCTCAACAGCATATTGTTAGTCAAGTAAATGCGCAACTTTGCCCCAATTCAACCATCTTCGTATCTCTCATAATTTCCGAGATCCCAATGGTGACGATCGAATTTGAAACACCCTGTATAATTTAAAGTAAACTTATAAAAACGTTCAAAACTAACGAAACAAAGTGATATGTCACTAATATGCCTGTCAAGCTGTTTTTCTAATGTTTTTGATGCAAATGACATGAGACTGACCGATCTCAAGGCCATCGCCGAAACCTGTCCAATTTTTCCTGCTTTCATACCTAAAATATTGAGAGTTATTGTGACCAATCACAATCACTCTCAATATTTCAGGTATGTATCTCAGAGCCAGACTTTCCCTGAGGATTACGAACGATCTTTTTTTCAGCATTACTGGATAAATGTTATCTGCTCCAGGCGACTCATATAGTTGAAATTAGTTTACAGTATACTTAACTATTCAAAAATATTTTTTAAATCTATCCCCCTCTTTACCACAAGCCAGATCTTTCGAATCCCCTCTTGGGGCCACCAGTTCTCAATAGTGTTACCATATTGGACACAGTAATATTCGTGAACAACAAAAACTACTAGAAATATTGGAGAGTTTTATATGATAATTAGATAAGCGATCCAACCTTCAGTTGTAAAAATGAGTTCAAACACTCTGTTAGATATTTCACAGCTTCGGTGGCATGGCAAACTCGATGAATAAACAATAGTAGTGGCCAAAACTGTTAAAAATGATCAAATTATTAAAATGACCATTGAAAGAGAGGCGTTGGAGATAAGGGGGTGAAAAATGGCTGTTATATGTATTTTTTAATGTCACATCATGAATAAATAAAAACAGTTTTTTTTACAAAAATTAAAAAAAATGTTTGAGGGGAACACCCTTATCACTTATGGGTATGAAAAATATATTGAAACCTATTCTCCGAGGAGTAAGGCAACTGGCACTGTAACACGAGAATTTCATTTATTAGATTTCGTTTGATAAGTCGGTTCAACGGCCTGTCGTCGTTACAGGAACCCATCATGATATTACTATTTACAATAAATACATTCGAAAGTGGAACGTTTTTCAACTAAGTAATTCGATAATGCATATTACATTTATTATAAGTTTGTAATAACAACATATCTCCAGTATAAAGTTCATTGGGATATCAAAAACTTGATGATAATAGGAGCAATTTCATTCGCATTCATCAAATGCAAATAATGATCACTGCCTGGAAGATAATACCTCTCCAACTTTCTTGAATTCTTCTCAATCGCATCCAGAATCATAAAATAATATTCGGGATGGTATGCTTTCGAATTTGCGTCGCTCCTAATATTCAAAACTTCACAGGTGATCCTTGAAGCAACGTCCAATACCTGAGAAATCGGCATGAACTCCAATCCAGAGTCCTTCAGTCTCGCATCTCGAGATAAAATATAACCCTCTCTTTTGCTCGCTTTCTTTATCCCTCTTCGTAGCAGGACTTCACAACCAGCTCTATTGACTGTGCCATCAAATGCTATCAAGAAGACATCGAGAAGTTGGTTTTTGGAGTAGGACGGCCACTCCTGGGTAGTTTCATTGTCCAAATCATTTTCTATACCTTCCCATTTGATCGACATTGCCCGCTACTTCGCCCGCATAAAATTTGGTTTGTCACATTAATAACCCAAAACTCCAGCTTTCCAACTTCAAAACTGACGAAATTCAATACTATCTTTGAAGCCCTATTTTTCCCCTTGTTGGGGGTGGAAATTCTTGATTCCCTTTCTTGATACTTATTTACGCTATACAAAGAACCTACCTGCATATTTCAAGACTATAGGTTCAGTAACTTCGGCTGTACGTTGATATTAGAGTGTCAGTCAATCAATAGGTACCCACTTACTAGGTTGCCTTTTATTTTTTGGGATTTGACAACTGACAGCTCTATCGTAAAGTTGAACATTTTTGAGCTTATACGTACTCAGAACGTTTTGACATACGCGCGCTATTTGTGTTGTTTACAGTAACTTGAAAGATTTATCTCGGCCCAAAAATGGAATTGAATCGTGAACATTTTCGTGCGATTATTTTTTACAACTTTCGACGTGGATTAACTCAGCATTAGTGCATGAATGAACTTAATTCAGTTTTTGGCGATGAAGCTCCATAAAGAACCAGTGTTTATCGATGGTATGGTGAATTCAATCGTGGTTGTGGTTCACTCCAAAACGAATTTCGTGAAGGTCGTCAAAAATCAGTTGTTCTTTCGAAAACCATTGATGCTTGATGCTGTGCCCGAACTGACATTGCAAGATCGTCATATGACCTATCGTGAGATTGAGACAACCTTAGGCATTAGTGGGACCAGCATACATTCAATATTGCACAAAAAAATTGTTCGCATTGGATCCTACACAATTTGTCAATCGCTCAAAAAAAGGCTCGTGTCGATTGGTCGAAGGAAATGCTCAAAAAATACGATCGCGGTGTTCGAAACACGTCTATGACATCGTAACAGGTGATGAATCGTGGATTTACACGTATGAGCCCGAAAGTAAACAGCAGTCGACTGTATTGGTGTTTCAAGATGAGCCAAATCCAATAAAAGTTGTTCGCGCACGGACAACAAGCAAATGGTTGCCTGGAAAAACTGGCAACCGTTCCACTAGAACAACGCAGAACAGTCAATTCTGAGTGGTACACAAGCATTTGTTTGCCAGTTGTTTTCCAAGAAATCAGGAAAATCATTCGCCGAAGACGGATCACTCTTCACCACGACAATGTGAGCTCTCACACATCGGCTCAAACAACTGCATTTTTGAGCACCCAAAAGATCGATTTGATTTGTCTGCAAAATAGGTTCTTCCGAAATAACTTGGCAATGCCGCAATGGAAACTCGAAAAAATTAAAAAAAATCCTCAGAGAGCTAAAAAAATATGGAATCGAATGACGTATTCATATACTAGGTGTTCCATTTAAAAAAATATAACTTTGGTTGGCTACGCTCGGCCCAGTATGCGAGAAAATAATTTTGAAAGATAGTATTTATTGATATGACTGCGAAAAAAAATGGAGCAGTTCGAAAAATTGTTTCCTCTGATAGCAATGGACCGACGGAATCTTGTTGACATACCTTGTACAGGTGGTATAAAACATAGGATGTTTTATTTCTCAGTAGATTTGTCTTTCATGGACAAAAATGAACTTCTTCGATTGACGACTTGTTTATTTTGTGGAAATTCATGTTCACTGAGGATACACTACAAAAACACACTTTTGTCTATTTTCCACGATATTTTTTTAACAATAGACAAAAATGAAGCTGAATAAATAAAATTATCGTATAAATTGAAAAATCACCTGAATTGTGAAGGCACGAGTGAATAAAAGTGAAAAAAAGTTCACAGAAGATATTTTGATATTCAAAGAACTTGTCTTTCGAAAAACACATGGAAAAAAATGCTCAGACGAATGTATTCCAATAAGTAACAGTTGAGTGAGTTTCAAGATTTCACGTTTCATTTTGAAAATATGTATTTACCTGTATTTTTCACCTTCATGGTTTTTGCAACACTAAAATTATTTTGCATTCTATTCAGACACGTTACTTTCTATTTAAGACCGCGGATCTTGAATAATTTGTACTCTCTTATTCATGCAGACGAATTAGACGAATTACAGAGTGAGGCAAACATTTGAGATTGGACTGGCCATACAGTGCATTTATTTAATGTCCCCCCTTTTATTATTTGAAGGGTTTAACTGAAAAATTTGAAATTTGGGATAATGAAATTAATGCATGAATACTTTATTTTGAAGTGAAATTGACAGATAAAACTTTCAAGATGGCGACTGGACGCCAATTGAATGGAAAGGGGGGGTCTTGTGACACATCTTTTTGAAGCTCCTGACAAATGCTTCACAACTCTAGAATATAATGTCAATATCTTCAATTACTACAAAATGGCGGAACATTAAATAATTGCCTGAATACATTGACATCCAACTATATAATATGAGGTAATAAGTTCGAGGTCCGTTCAGAAGATGCTCGAAATGGTTGCCTTGAACTTTTTGACATATGAACAGCCTATTCGATATTTCACATAGTAACGTCAATATCTCTACAAATATTTAATATTCTCTGCCGTATATCCAATACTGAAGCAGGTTCGGTTTCGTACACCTCTTGTTTCAAATAGCCCTATAAAAAAAGTCCAAAGGTGTCAAATTTGGCGATCGGCCTGGCCATTCTGTAGGACCTCGACGGCCAATCCAACGACCGGTAGAGATTGTTGACGTGGTACCTTTCTACTAGTGAAACCGAAAACTAAATGAGAATATTCTAACTTAACAATGATGTTCATTGTTGTACTGAAATTTTTTGTCGTTTTTATAAACAAAAAATAACTTAACAAAGCTTATCGGGTTGTTGAATTGTCATATGGCAGATAAAAAGGAATAGTTCTAGAAATATCGATATTAATGTGTTTGTCTCAGGAAATTATTAAATGTTCCGCCATTTTGTAGTAGGTGAACTATTTTAAGCAATGTGGTTTGTATAAAACGCGTTTTCTTCCGTAGGTCCGGAACTTTTCAGGCCATGGTTTGATTAAAAAAAATCTTTTAGGTGCTTGTCGACAGAAAGATCGCAATTGTTTCTTCGATTGAATCCGCGATTCCCAAGGGTCTGCACGTACATCGGGAAAGACGGCGTCGGTCTGTCGGAACTACGCCCGACGTATCGACCGCTTGTATGCGTCATCGCGCCGCAACACCGTCTCCTCCGCCATTTCTGGTCGGGACTTCTGTCAATTAACCGCTGTCGCTTCGACAAGTCGCCGGTAGACTTTGGGGTAGGATATCAGACATCCTGTTTCCTGTTGAATTTTGCGGGCGTTGGACGTTCCTCGATTTGGGCATCGAGCTCGAGTAGGTTCATTCGGTGCAGGGAATATTTGCGGATCAAAATGTTGATCGGACTCGTCAGGGAATCGGTTATGCAGTGCTTCTGCCATACGTGCCGGGCACCATTACCAGTTGCCGGTAAGTACATCATTGGGTTTTCCCGAATTATCATCGAATTTCCACTTATCTCACAGAAAAGTATCAGTTAACTTGCCTCTTTCAACGTTTTTAAAGTAATTGCAGATTTTTTTGATGATTGGTAACGTACCTGTCTTCCTTGAGTTTCTAGCGAATTCCTTCTAGTCTGATTGAGTTTCCAAAGACAAACCAAATCCTTCTTCAACAAATTCATCAAACAAACTTGGTCCTCAAAAATATCTTTGCGGATTTTTTGGTAGATATGACATTGAGTTTTCTTGAGTTCCTCTTTCATTTCGATTGAACGTCCAATAACGAACCCACTATTTTCCCTTGAAATCAATTAATCAATAAACCTGCCTTTCCGAAATGAATAATTTTTATGGAGAATTTTGTCATCAATTTTTGAAAGTTGTTCTGGTATGAAGAATTTTTTTCTGCACTGATATGAATCTCTACTCATAAGTCCATTGAATTAGCACAGTTCAAAATCCTCGATATTTATACAGGCTCGCGATTATATACCTTTGGGACATTTTTGCTCTCCGAAGTTCGAAAAACTCCCCTGGAATAAAAATCTAGTCACGGCTGTCATATGAAAAAGGAGTGGCAGCCATGTTTCCCATATCACCAATGTTTTTCAGAAATAACTCAGACTTGCGAGTTCATCTTCAATGAATAAAGTTTGCGCGACAATTCTCAAAAAACTTTTCTCAACTCGACAAAATTTTACTATTTTCATTCCTGACGTTTCCCTAGCTCCAGTGGCTAGCTTCTTCAGAGGTTTTTATATCTCGAGTTCATCTCCGATGATTATTAGGACTGCGTAAAGCGTATTTATGTTCATTGAGGTAGTGCTTATACCTGTACCAGGATTAGGTAAATTGTCGATAACATTCGTTGACTCTTTTCTATCTGTCGTCATGAAGATAGTAACACTGAAAATATCGGCCTCGAAAGCCTCATCCAATTTGCAAGGAAGGAATTCCGAAAATGGACGGCCCTCAAACCCGAATAGAAATAATGACGTCTTCTCAACTCGATGGTGATAATTTTCAATTTGATTTGTTTGGAATTCTGAAAAACTTAAAAAAACACTTCAATGTGTGATTTCCTCTTAACAGTTTACAGGACCGCTACACGTGTTTCGATATGCAGTAGCATCTTCAGGCGTCACAATACTGACGCCTCAGATTCCAAAACAAACAATTCAATTCGATGAAATCAAATGACTATTGAACTCGCCTCTTTGAAATGAACACTTATAATTAGAAATATTGTTATCATTTTTTAAAAATAATTCTGATACTTCATTATACCCTCACAACACCCCTAATTTTTCTTTGAAAAAACCGGTATCATAGCGAATTTTATCAATTGAAATATTATTCAGCATTGGAGAATCATTGATTGCGACTTGTTTTGAATATGTCCTTGTATTGTGGTGGTATTATTCAACGATTATTTGATAATTACACCCAAACTGTCTGACCTAAAGTGACCTTATAAATGAATAATGAGCAATTTTTGTCTCCTTTCGACAGTATCTAGCAAAAAATCATTTTTTGATCAACTCACGATTTAAAAACGAACACGAAAAATGCCAATTCAACCTGAAAGAACTCAATGTTTTCTGGTTAGTTCTGTTGATAAAAATGTAACCGAGATATACTCTGTCAACCACCTGTCATTTCTTAAATAAATTACCACCAACATCGAAAATAATATTATCATCCTTGTTCCATTGTTTTTATTTGAGGTATCCAAAAAATTACCCCACGTTGTGAGGTGAGTGGTCATTGAAGTTTAAAAAACCCTTTTTCATAATAAGTAAATGTTTTGGGAAACTGCACAATTAATAAACTCATCTCCTTTAAAGTAATTGAAGCTTTGAAGTAATTACCAGATTTTTTTTAAATAATCATTCATAAACTGAATAATCGTCCATTCTTGTGATTTTACATATTTAGAAAAACTTTGTCTTCCCAAAGTTCGAAAAAATCCCTTCGAATGAAGTTCAGATGCGACTGAGATGTGAAAAAAGTGACTGCCATTTTTCCTATAGCACCCCTTTGTAAACTAATGATGATTAAGTTAGGTTGTATGATAACAGTAAAAACCCTTTTTCAGCTCGATTAATTCCAAAGTTGAGGTCTTCAATTAAAGTTTCCTCAGCTGTTGAGTTTCCAAAGAAATGAACGAATGTATTTAGAGTAACATTGTGACATTCTCACCAAACGTGTTTCACTAAACGGGAGCTTCATCCGGCATGTCCTTACTGAGTATGACTCGATCTTAGCTTACATCTTGTGAATTCGCCATTCAAGTTTCTGAATCAAAAAGGCAAAATTCCACATTGCTCCACCAGTAGCATAATGCGACCACCACTTCGTTAGCAGGCTTAGCAGGAGCTACATAGTCTCCTCAACGAATTTAGGATACAAACTCACTACTCTCATACCAATCTGATGCAAAGGGTGCGGTGTCATAGCATTCAAAAGTAGGCGAAACATCGGGTCATGCCCCACCACCTTGCCTCTGACCCTTCGTAAGGGGTCAATTGTGAGGGCCCATGTCTCATGTTCCAGGAAGCGATTATTGAGTCTACCTGGTGGTTAGCCCTATAGACCCACGGCCGGCGTCATCCTCCCGGATTCGCTTGGTGCTACCAGTCCGATTTTATTGTTAGTTGTTGAGGTAAGTGGTGACGCAACCCACCAAAGGCCTCACATGTAAGATGACCGGTCGGATCCTGTTACTGAAGATCCAAGGGCATGGTGACATCAATAATTGTGTTGATCGTGTATCCTGAGTAGGGGCAATGAAACCTTCTGCAATCGTCTAATCCTCCCCAGTGGCTGAATTGAAACAATCATTTCGAAAGAGTGGTCTGAAAATTTCACGGCCTCAACATGAACTTAACAGCACTCTGTTGACGGTAACTCACAGAAGTTTCAGCCATTTTAGACGCACAGTTGTTATGTAACAGTCGTTCGAGTGAATTGATGTGAGTGTTTTTATGAAAATGGACAAAATCTGGTGTCAAACTGTCATTGAATAAATCAAAGATGAGTTGGATTCTGTGTATGGGGACTCTGCACCAACATTTATCACAGTGAAATTTTGGGCAGCTGAATTTGAACGTGGCCGTAAAAGCTTGACAGACGATGAACCTTCGGGACGTCCAAAAACTGCAACTACTGACAGAAACATCACCAAAGTTGACCATATGATGCTAGACGACCCCCTATGAAGTAAGAGAGATAGCAGATGTTATGAACGTGAAGAAAAAACATGTTTGTCACATATTAATTATCCGAGTGGCCGTAAGAGCTTGGCAGACGATGAACCTTCGGGGCATCCAAAAACTGCAACTACTGACAGAAATATCACCAAAGTTGATCATATGATGCTAGACGACCCCCTATGTAGTAAGAGAGATAGCAGATGTTATGAACGTGAAGAAAAAACAAGTTTGTCACATATTAAATATCCGAGTGGCCGTAAAAGCTTGGCAGACGATGAACCTTCCAGGCATCCAAAAACTGCAACTACTGACGGAAACATCACCAAAGTTGACCATATGATGCTAGACGACCCCCTATGAAGTAAGAGAGATAGAAGATGTTATGAACGTGAAGGAATATCATGTTTGTCACATATTAAATATCCGAGTGGCTCTAAGAGCTTGGCAGACGATGAACCTTCGGGGCGTCCAAAAACTGCAACTACTGACGGAAACATCACCAAAGTTGACCATATGATGCTAGACGACCCCCTATGTAGTGAGAGAGATAGCAGATGTTATGAACATGAAGAAAAAACAAGTTTGTCACATATTAAATATCCGAGTGGCCGTAAAAGCTTGGCAGACGATGAACCTTCGGGGCGTCCAAAAACTACAACTACTGACGGGAACATCACCAAAGTTGATCAAATGATGCTAGATGAACCCCTATGAAGTAAGAGAGATAGATAGCAGATGTTATGAACGTGAAGAAAAAACATGCTTGTCACATATTAAATATCCGAGTTTTGGCGCCGATTGATAACTGTAGGTTAAACTTGGATACACCATTATACGCCCGGAACAAAAATACAGTCCAAACAGTGAACTGTAAAAAGGGAACCGACTAAAACTGTTTTTTCGGCTGAGAAAGTGATGGATGGTGACTGTTTTCTGGGGTAGTCATGGAATTATTTTAATCGATTATCTTCAAAGAAGAAATTCCATCACCTACAAGAGAATACTACGCATCACTATTTGACGAAGTTAAGGCAGAACTCGCAAAAAACCGGCTATATCTGCTGTGAAAGAATCCTGTTTCACCAAAACAACGCATTGTCTCACACTTCAGCGGTTGCCACGGCGAAAATCCATGAATTACGGTTTGAATTGCTTGACCTTCCGCCTCACTCACCAGATCTAGCCCCAAGCGACTTTTTTTTGTTTCCTTATCCAAAAATCAAGCTTGGAAGATAGAGATATTTTGCAGAGAAAAACGCTGAATACTATTTGGACGGGTAACAAAGATGAGAGCATCGCTAGGAGACGTGTGTAGAGTTGAAAGAAGACTATGTTGAAAAATAATAACAAAATTATGAAAAACTGTCTTGTATCTTCAATAGGTCGGAAAATTTTCAGACCACCTTCACAGTTTCCTCAAAAATTTTGTACACATCATAATTGTACACCATACCTGAAATTTAAATTTGGATCTTTGGATTTATCGCGACATTGGAACTCTGAATTCTAGGAGCCTCACGTACTGCGTGATGAAGAAGGTTGCGATATCTTTGGTTTNCAAACCATTTTCTATACTGGTTCTGAAATATTCGAGAAAACGGCCTGAATCGAGTCTGCCACAAGGACCTGCCATATCGAGGCTTATGTATTTCTTCACGTCTTTGGGAAAAGTAGCTGCATACAAAAAAGCTATAGAGCCTCCCAAGGAATGTCCAATTATCGTGATTTCCCTCCACCCGAAGCGCTTCACGATTCTTCTCAGGTAGTGGACTCCATCATAAATATAGTAATAAAATTGTCCTTTCGGTAGATGTGATGAAAATCCATGACCTGGAAGGTCAATGCACAGCAGGGAGAAGCCCTCTTCGACGAGCAACGGTGCTAGATTATCGAAGGAACCGCAATTGTCTTGCCAGCCGTGGAGTGCGATGATTGGTTGCTCGTTTCTGGAGCCCCACCATTTGCCTGTGAAAATTTAGTTGATATTAATTATGGTTAAACTGATAATTTCATGAAAGTGATTACTCAATCCATACTCAGGCGTAATAGAAAATATACTCACCTGCGATATGTCCCCAAGGTACCGGTATTTTAACCTCAAAAAAATCGTTTTTGACTGAAAAAAAATGTGTTGTATTGATCTGTAACATTCAATATCTTTGACGGTTTTCGCCGTTAAGGACTTGTAGTTAGCATATAACTTCTGATTAATTCTTCAATAGAAATGTACTTGTATAGTTTGACAGTTATACCTTTTCAATATCTGACAAGTCAATCCAACAACATCGTATAAATTGCTTTTGATATTTTGTCTTTTGTAAAAAATGTATACTGGGCGCTAAGTCTTTTAACATCCATGATCACATAAATTTCATCACGATATATTCCTTATATTTATAATATGAACCACCACATTCAAAGATGATCCATGAGAGTGAAAAATGCAATAAACGTTGCAATATGCTTTACCCCTCCCCATAGTATGAGATGTATACGCCACTGTACTGCTATCAACTTCGTGAATTGTAAGTTATACAATAGTAAACTATACCAAATGTATGAATTGTTATCCTGTGAAATAATGTCAATATACTTAAATAAAATTGGTACAAAATACAAAACTAACGAGATCTTACCTTTTAAAGTGTGATTCCTAACACGGTTGCAGAATCATCCCAGCTTCAACCAGATAAATCCTCTCGAGAAAAATATCTGGTCGAGGCAGGAATCGAACCCACGGTCTTCTGATCGTGAGTCGGGCGCACTACCACCGCGGCCAATTCCATATACTTTCCGAAGAGTTTTTTTTTAATTGCAAACCATAAAAATTTCTAGAATAAGGAAAATTTTCGGTCAATGTTTCCTTCAGTTGGTGATAAGTTGGACCAGATAATAGATATCTATGACCAACAAGATAATGGATTTTGAAAAATAATTAGCTAGAGGTATGGTATCTGTAGAGTATGGAGGATGAGTTTAGGCCCAAAGCACTTAGGCCACATGTGACCCATTGTACATCCTCCCAAATAGTTGTCCTCCTAGGTCATCGTCCATCCTGTCCATTTCAGGAAGGTGGACAGGTCTCTGGGAGACATCTCCTTTATATCGGTAGGTGTAGGCCAAGACTTGCCGAACACACAGTCTCTTATTGACAACTCCGGACATTCGCATAGGACTTGCCTGGCAGTTTCATCTTTCTGTTCACACATCCTGCATAGAGATATGTCCACTAGCCCCAAATTGTGGAGGTGTTTTCTTAGTTGACAGTGGCCATTCAGAAATCCTACTGTGAAGCGTAGATTTTTCCTGATCATCGCCAGACATTTCTTCGGCATCAGCTTCCCAGGGTCGTCCAGGGTGATCCTGGCAAGATTGCATCCTTTGATTTTTAGTTTCCTCAAAAATTTTGTACACATCATAATTGTACACCATACCTGAAATTTAAATTTGGATCTTTGGATTTATCGCGACATTGGAACTCTGAATTCTAGGAGCCTCACGTACTGCGTGATGAAGAAGGTTGCGATATCTTTGGTTTTGTTTTACGAACTGGATCATTTCAAAAGTCAAGGTTGCACTTTTGTTCTGGATTGTCTTCGAGTAGACGTGGTACTGTGATGGAAACAAATGTAGGTATACATTTTCTGCTACCCGTACAAAGCCATTTCGGCTCAATAGTCACGCATCTGTCTGTCTGAACGAGATAAACCCAAAATCTACCGAGCGGATTTTCATACGGTTTTCATCAGTGGTCGGAGTTATTCAGGGGTGAGCTTCATGTTTTGGGTGAATCAGTTGAAATAGGACGATGCTGTTTGTGCGGAGCCGACCGGCTGTTCTATCAGTGCGAAGCCGAGACGGATCGCTAATAATTTATAATATTCTGTGAGAGTCTGCTGAGTAGAAAGAGAAATTTGTATCCCCCTTCAATATCTTCGAATAATTCAGAAAATCAGTAAGGGTGAGGGAAATTCTTAATAACAAAAGTTTATATCCCTCTGCTGATATAACCCTTGGATTTATGATCACTGTATAGTATAGTTTCTCAGATGAATATGTTCTAGGTTTACGCAGAATCAGTAATTCATTCAATAACAAAGTTGTACATCAAATATTTAAAATAAAATATGACATCAGAGTTATTTCGCTGAATGTATGGGTTACACTTGGGTGTGAAATCTGTTTAAATCTGTTTTTCCGTTAATCAGCTGTCACCCCTATACGAACGACAACTCTCAGAAGTTGAGAAACTTGTACGAGCTAAGGACTAACGATGTCTTACCTTTTAACGTGTCATTCCTAACACGGAAATATGTAAATACTTCGCCCAACGATTTTATTATTTTTTTATCTGATCAATACCGTAGATTGCTGAGGAGAATGGTGTGATGACTGCTACCTATAAAATTCCTTAATATATATTTTATCGGTTTACGTTACAGAATTGATTTGGGATTTGCGAGACAGATGTCTACCTTTTGGATTGCGTGTATGGCTTCTATCCAATCAATCCAATTTCAGACACATACAATTGCCGATATACGAAAACTCGAGAATCAGTTTTGCAGAAGGAAAATAGCAACCCCTAATCCCTAATGTGTGGGGTATTGATCGGTAACATTCAATATCTTTGACGGTTTTCGTCGTTAAGGACTTGTAGTTAGCATATAACTTCTGATTAATTCTTCAATAGAAATGTACTTGTATAGTTTGACAGTTATACCTTTTTAATATCTGACAAGTCAATCCAACAACATCACATAAATTGCTTTTGATATTTTGTCTTTTCTGGGCGCTAAGTCTTTTAACATCCATGATCACATGCATAAATTTCATCACGATATATTCCTTATCTCCATAATATGAACCACCACATTCAAAGATGATCCATGAGAGTGAAAAATGCAAAAAATGTTGCGATATGATTTACCCCTCCCCACAGTATGAGATGTATACGACACTGTACTGCTATCAACTTCGTGAATTGTAAATCATACAATAGTAAACTATACCAAATGTATGAATTGTTAACCTGTGAAATAATGTCAATGTACTTGAATAAAATTGGTACAAAATACAAATTTTTCACAACCAAACTATTTAAAATCTGTTCAAAATCTGTTTTTCCGTTAATCAGCTGTCGCCCCCATACGAACGACAACTCTCAGACGTTGAGAAACTTGTGCGAGCTAAGGACTAACGAGGTCTCACCTTTTAAAGTGTGATTCCTAACACGGTTGCAGAATCATCCCAGCTTCAACCAGATAAATTGTCTCGAGGAAAATATCTGGTCGAGGCAGAGATCGAACCCACGGTCTTCCGATCGTGAGTCGGGCGCACTACCACCGCGGCCAATTCCATATACTTTCCGAAGAGTTTTTTTTTTTAATTGCAAACCATAAAAACTTCTAGAATAAGGATAATTTTCGGTCAATGTTCCCTTAAGTTGGTGATAAGTTGGACCAGATAATAGATATCTATGACCAACAAGATAATGGATTTTGAAAAATAATTAGCTAGAGGTAAGGTATCTGTAGAGTATGGAGGGTGAGTTTAGGCCCACAGCACTTAGGCCACATGTGACCCATTGTACATCCTTCCAAATAGTTGTCCTCCTAGGTCATCGTCCATCCTGTCCATTTCAGGAAGGTGGACAGGTCTATGGGAGACATCTCCTTTATATCGGTAGGTGTAGGCCAAGACTCGCCGATCGCATACTCTCTTATTGACAAATCAGGACATTCGCATAGGACTTGCCTGACAGTTTCATCTTCCTGTTCACACATTCTGCATAGAGATGTGTCCACTAGCCCCAAATTGTGGAGGTGTTTCTTTGGTTGACAGTGGCTAGTCAAAAATCCTACTGTTAAGCGTAGATTTTTCCTAGTCATCGCCAGATATTTCTTCTTCGCCAGCTTCCCAGGATCGCCCAGGGTGATCCTGACAAGACTGCATCCTTTGATTTCATCCCATCTCTTTAGGGATTGAGCATGGGTGTGACGTTTGGCTAGTTCCACAATTGTCGAAGTCATCAAGCCTGTTAAAGTTCTCAGTCCAGCCGTTTCCTTGGCTGAAGAGTCGGCAATGCGATTACCTTTACTCCTATCGTGCCCTTTAACTCACCTCAGGATTATGTTATTATCTACGGAGGCTTTGGCTAAATCTTGGTGGCACTCTAGTACTAGCCCTGAGGTAACATGTTGTCTGTTCAAGACTAATAGGGCGTGTCTGCTATCAGTGCAGATTGTTATGTTTTTGTCAGAAATTTCTTTCCTGGTTTTTTTTTTGTTGCGATTGAGATACCAGCCATACCAGAGGTATGATATTTTTGAGTAGAGTAATGATGAGGAAAATTGTAAAAAGATTAGAGAAGATGAAGATTCATCAGAAAAACAAAATAGAAGGAAAGTAGAAAAATGTCTACGATAACCGGAAGCCCAGAAATAATAACTCTTAGTACTTTGATTCGTTATTTCTAGTTGGTCGTATATATTTTATCGTCTATAAAATTTTTATTTACTCACAACTTGAACTTTCTTTTACAGCTCATAGAACACATATCCCAATAACAAAAGTGAAGACGAAATCAAGAACAGCATTGATACAACAACCAAAAAGGACTCAATTTGTGGGTGAGTGAATTTGAGTTATCATGATTGAATTGAAGAATTCGATGGTAGACGATGTATTCTTTCTCAATACATAAACATATCCTGAGATGTCATTATTTACGAAACGGTAAGAATAAACCAGAGTATTTAAAAAAAAATGTGATGCGGAGTGCGGAGTTGCACAAACCATTACAATGTGGGGTGTTGAGACTGACCTGAACGAATTATTCCTTCAGATGATTTGATTTACAGCCAGTCTTCAAGTATGCCCGCTGACTATATGTGAAAAGTTTTATTTCATTATATGGGGAATTTGGAAAATTTCGGATATGCGCTTGGTTATCTCGTTCACAGGCAGATGGGGCGATGACAAACCTGTTGTTTGTTGTCCGCTTCAGCGGACAACACTTTACCAACACTTTACCAATTTTCAATCGAAGGTGATTTATTAGCAACGTCGCACTTGAAGTGACCAACGGATGAAGTGAAGGTGATTCATTAGCAACGTCGCACTTGAAGTGACCAACGGATAATCCTCTTACCAGCTCTGCAGGGGCGTACCAAAATAATATTTTTATTTATTTAAACACATAGGTAATTACGTAAAAATTGTTATAGTAGGTGGCGCTACCTGGTGTCAATGATAAAACTGATTACATTTTTTTATTATGCCTAATACAGTACTTCAAAAAAACAGAAAAATTTACAAAATAATTTTTATGTTCTTTTTATCTACAAAGCAAAGAAATAATTACCTATGTTATGCTTGTGAAGTTTCAGAATCCATTAACTCGTCCGAAGAGGAATCCCCAGTCACACTTAAATCTATTATTATTTGGTCGAAAACAGTGTCTAACATCTCGTCCAATCTCCACATTTTCACTTCTTCCTTGATCACATGGGCTACATCATCAGCCCAATCTTCTTTCCGTATCCGTTTCATTGCGAGTTCTTATAAATGTTGGACATCAGCAATTTTATATGTTTATACGTTTTATACGTTTTTACGAGCTACATAACCCTTAATTTGAGCCCAGATTAATTATATCGGGTTTAACTCGCAATGGTAAGTCTCAAAATGGTGATGCCTTCAGCACGAGCTATTGTATCCACCACATGCTGGCGATATCTGTCACGATGCTGTTTAATGACACTCATAAGCTCGGCCTTGCCCATGTCCTTGGAAAATGGAATTCCTTTTTGTCCTAGCCAACTCTGCATGTCTGCTTTTCTGGTGGTCATAATTGGCAGCTGTTCTACTAATCGGCTGTGATAAGAAGCGTTATACATTACTATTACCGAATTTGGCTCGACTCGTGAAAGAAGGGATTCAAACCATCCTTCAAAGCATTGGGCGTCCATGTCTTCGTGATAATCCCCCGTTTTTTTTGATAAAAAAAATTAGTGCACTATCGTCTGAAAAGCCACTCTCACTACCTATATGGGCGACAATTAGTCGTTGCCCTTTACCCGTTGGTCCGCATAACCCTGTTGATAAACCGTCCACAAATGCTTGACGATAACTAGTTACAGTAGTATCTTGCCAGATCTCAGATACTGTGTGACGGGCATTTACCCACGTTTCGTCCAGATAATAAATCTTTTTGTGAGCAGAACGCATTTCTCTAATATAGCGAAGATATCTCCGTTGCCATGAGACTATATCTTCTCTTTCTATTAAGACAGACTTACCGGATCATTTGGCATATATAAATTTTAAATTTTCTTTTATTATTTTCCTCAACTTCTCTTTGCTCATTTTTGGAATGAGATCATTATCCATTACCTTTGTCCTAATGGATCCGAGGGTTGGCGCTTTATTCTCAAAAAAGAAAGAATGAATGATATAGCGTACAAAATGTTTCTGGTACTCGTCTAATTAATTTTTTTTCTACCACGACAATGTACTTTTGGAGCTTGCACAATCCCAATCACCTTTTTTTCACGTACAATGCGTTCAATTGTCGACACGTATATTCCCGTTGAAAATGAACACTGGGCTACAGCTTCCACTGTACGGAGTGTATTTTTGAAATTTTCGTACACTCTACAGACAATCTGTTTTTCTTCTAACGACATAAACTTCCGCTTTCTTTGTACATTACTTGGACCTGCTACGGCATCCATCTTAATACTAAAAAAATAATAAAATTCAATCATATTACTCAGCTATTTGTCAGTTGTTTACTTACCTCAAAAACTATTTTAAAGTTGATGTATTTTGAAAAAGACTTTATTGTGATATTTTCACAAATCCGCAACACGTGTTTCGCTGCACAGTAGCTTTTTCAAGCGTGTTGTATGTTGATCTTCAATTTCTTGATTGTTATATTTCAAAGCTATACATGCTGGATTTTTATTTTCAGTTTTTTTCCCAAGTTCATCATTCATGATAGTCCATACTTGTTTAGTTTTATTGTTGGAGTTATATATTTTTGCATTATAATGGTTGGTCTTTCCTTGTTTGATTTTTAATCTGTGATTTTTTAGTTTTGCCCTATAACTATGCATCATATCAGGGTTTACAGTATTACTAGTTCGAGGAATAATACTCTGAAGGAATTCGATTTTCGATTATTGATAATCATCGACTTTTTGTTGATGATAGACACTACCTCGCACTGACGAGTGGCCAAACAGCCCGAAACCGTTCTGCAAGTGTGTTCCAATAATTCAAAAGCTATTGCGGCAGTTTGTNCACCTGTCGGATGTAATCCAACGTTCTTCGTTATATTAGCCAAGGGAGTAGTTGTTTACTGATAGGTGCCAGTCCATTAACTTACAGTGTAGGGAGTTGAGACTGGCTCGAACCAATTTTTCCTTCAGATAATTTTATTTTCTTTATTCAATATGAATTTCTACAAAGTAAATAGGTCATCAATCGAACATATTCCATGTTTATGACAAAAAAGAAATGATATTAATATCAGCATTCTCTTCAGCAACCGAAGTACGGTGTCAGGAAAAAACAAGAGGTGGTTTGCGGTATGAGGTGATTTTGGGCGAGCCGGAGGTCAAAATCAGTCCTCCAAAGAAACTGTTTCCATCTAAAGGAACTTTGTCTGTTCAGGATATCAAAGATAAACTGAAAGCCGCGGAAGAACGTAGACAGGTGAGTTATTTGAAAAGGATGTGTAACCATATGTTCACTAAAAAGAAAATTGGTGCGAAATAATTATTTTTTACAACTTATGGTTATACAATGATAATGATTTTTGCAATAAAAGGCTTCTCTATTGAAAATAATCTTTTAATTCATATTTGATTTTATTTTCATTTCAGATTTATCTTTTGTTTGTTTTCTTAGCTGCTCAATGCATGATCTTGCTTTTGCATTCTCATTTTTTCAACGGTTAAATTTGATAGAGCTTCGATATCAAATAGCTAAATTTTTTGTTCAATTTTCAAATGGTTTCGGTATTGATCAAAAATATTTTACAGCAACTGGAGTATAATAAAATGTCTGCACTGTCTGCAAAGATCCTGAAAATTGAAGAAGCGAGCCGTAAGAAAAACGAACAAACCAGTGATTTCATATCAACAACACGTGATGCTCTAGAACAGAAAATGGAAATCCACGAGGAGAAAAGGGAAGCCTACATAACTGATTTGAAATCCAAGCTCAAGGTAAGTGTGTTCAACTTTCATTTCCATATTCAAGCAAAACAGCACAAGCGAACGGAGTCACCAACAGGAGTCTACCGCACATTTGTGGTTACAGGAAAGAATACAAAGACCACAGAACATCAGAATTTGCATTTTTGTGTCACGTGAAATTTTTAGCATATATTCTGACCACCAGAGGGTGATGGTAGTACGGTGTGATCACCAACAGAACTGGGCATTAGTCGCTGACAAACCAGTCGGCTTTTTGATTTAATTTGATTTTGGCGTACATCCCAATTCTGTTGATACTCATATTAAATACTGACATCGTACTGCCAACGCCCTCTCGTGGTCAGGGTATGTACTAAACATTTCACGTGACACAAAATTGTCACTTCTGTGCTTCTATGGGTTTTGTATTCTTTGGTTACAGTCAGGAGACCTACAATTTCTAGGATGTCCTAACATTATCACGGAGCTCCAGATACCCGCGTGACTTTCGGATCCAGGATACAAATATAAAAATAGGTTTTGTTAAGTGTGCACGACTAAAATCAAAAAGGAAGATATTGGACGGAACACCACTATAGAAAATTGAGGGTCAAACCGCGGACACGTGTTTCTGACTATTGGCCCCGTCAGCGCGGTGTAGCCAAGTCACGCAAATAGCTGTAGCTGCTTCCGTGGAAATATTAAGACATTCTAGCAATTCTAGGTCTCTTAACTGGAACTACAAATGTGTGGTAGGCTCCTGTTGGTGACTCCGTTCATTTGTGCTGTTTTCCCGTGTTCGGCAACTGAGTGTTGCCCATCTTTGCACTTGGCTACACCGTGCTAATGATGTTTACCCCTTCATTTTTCTCTTATGTAGACATCTACGACTTTGTAGGTACGTGTGGTAGATACCCAACGGAAAAACAATAACTAACCTAGCTAATGCCGCACAGAAATCTGAAGTAAGACCATCAGGCATTTGTGCAACGTCTCTCATAATATACAGGGTCCTGCAACAGTGGCGCGGTGTTCCATATCTCTATTTAGGAAGCAGATAGAAATCTAATTTTCTATAATATTACCTTATTGCTCGAGCTCGACAAAATAAAAATATTGGCGGTCACACAGGGTGTTCGATTTTTTCTGGGCGGATCTAGGCAAATTCAATGAGACATCCGGATGGAAGGGGAGGACAAATATCTGCCGAAGTCCTAATCAATGAACCATCAACAAGAATAACAAATTCACTAAGGCAATCTAACCGTATAAAAGAACAAACAAGAAGATAAAATGTTCGGTTTGAGTACAGCCATGAAAATGAGTTTCTCATATATATTTGAATGTATCATGTAGTTTCGAAAGTTAGATTTGTTGGAAGCTTTGTTCAAATTTGTTGTTTTTCAGGACTGGATAAAATATAATTATTGACTAGAATTTTTTCTTCTGCCTCTATGTTCGTTATTTTTCCGACAAAATCACATTATCAACACTAATATCATAAACAGAATACTCCACTCGAATAACCTTTTATCGCTTCTCGAAACATCCACTCGGAAACTTTCCTTCCTTTTCCCCTTCTGAACTACCCTGAACTGTAATGAGATTGTCGAACCCCAGCCCCCAAACTATTTTATCCAGATCAACTTTCTATTGGTCATACTCACCCTTCGGGAAGTAATCAATACCGAGTGTATGAAACGACTGACGATGTTTTTCTGGTGGAATAGAGCAGTTTTAGTAGATAATAGATAAGTAATTCAACTAATTCATTCGTTGGAAGTTGAGAAAATTTTAAAGTTCATTACGGCCGTGATAATCACTCTAATGGAAGCAAAACTTAACTTTCCCTATATACCAAGTGATTATCAAAAAAAGTCAGATACTACTATTCCATATGGAATCTGCTGATTCTTGATGAAAATCCATGACGTATCTCTCTTTATAACAGTTTCACAAAAAAAGCAACACCTGTTTCGCTATACAGTAGCTTCTTTAGGCGTGTCTCGATGCGAAAATATTCAGATCCGATGTAAACGAACCCTTTATTCAGATTTTCAATGTTATCTCCTTGGCAAATCACTATTAACGAAGATACAGCTGAGTGCTCTTTTGGCATGCCGCCATATTTCTTTTTCCTCTAGTCCACACTGACGTCATCACCTTCTCCTCCATGCACACACATTGCAGCTGGTCTCACTTTTACACACGTCACACCTACCTTGAATAGGATGTTCCACAAGGTTCCGGATATTACCAAAACGGATCTCCATGAGACAAAGCATGGGATTTTGAGGTTGAAACAGCATAGTATCTTTAGTGATACTATTCCCCTTCGAAAGGGGAGATGTCAGTTTTTCTCGAAATTCTAACTTCAAACTCGAAATTATCACTTTAATTTTTATGAGAGACTCACAGATTGTTTCATCAACTTTTCAGGATCACATTGAAAATGTAGAGAAAACACGGCTGACACTCGAGCAGCAAACAGACGAGGTGAGGACAGCGATTGAAGAAAAGTTGAAGTCTGCTTCTCAACAAAGAAATGATAACATCAAGAAGATGTTGGATCGTTTGAAGGAGCATGTAAGTTGAATTAAGTTGTCTTAATCACTAGGTTCATAAGGTATGTCTTATATTGGGATGGTAATTTAGGTGATTGTTGTAAGTTTTTTGGTCAAAACCATATTTTTTATTGTACCTACAATTTTTGATATTCTTCAGAGGTTCGCTATAAGGTGAGATGGAATAATAATTGCTCACCAACCAATATTTACCTTCCTAACTTCATTTGTGATGAATATGACAATTGTATTCATTAAGTATTCCCAGTACTCATACACTGTATATTTTTTCAATATTTCAGAAAATTTTTTTCTTCTTATAAAACTTCAAGTTGATTCAGTACTACATCAAATCTAGTAGAACCAGAAAAATATTTACCAACTTAAATAGCCATAAAACATTGACACCTAAATTCCTATGTTCGGAAAAAATGTCATTGTCGTGGTGACGTTATGGTATCACGATACAGATATAGAAATGCATTAGGTATTCCTTTCCGAGTAACTCTGCTTGATTATGATATAACCATTTCAAGGAGTTCGTCTTTCGACATGAATGACCAGTGGTTTGTCCCTTAGAGATAGCTGGATGCAATGGACCAAATCCTCAATCTTCTTGGTCACCAAGTAGAGGCATTTCCATCTACTTTTCTTTCAAGTCAATTTTCATTTTTCCTCTGTAGTTGATATAACCACACGACAAATCTTCGTATGAACAAACTATCAGCAATTTTCCTAACTGCTTCTTTATCCAGTTACTGGTAATCTTTAGGAGTTGGTGGATTCCTAAGAATTCGTAAGATCTTCTGGTTCAAATTTGCTCGTCTAGATTCTCCCACTTATGATAGAGTAATATTTGTCGACTGAACTATACTTTGAAACTTCGTAGTTTTCGAACCAACTTCGCATCCTTGACTTTCTTCTGGTTTGTTCTTTTCTGATGTGTAATCCATAGGTCCATTTTTTCGGAAATCAATCTTATGGTTTTTCCACTACAAGTATACTAGCATTTCATTTCTCATACATCGCGGTGAATATACTTCTTGCTGCCCATTTCTTGGCTACGTCTTCTTTGAATGGTTGGATATCAGTGTCTTCTTCCTGGTGTTGGTTCCTGGCTCCAAGTGTAGCTGATAGTAACCTCCTCTAGTTTCCAGTGGACGGATTCTTTCCTCAAATATCTTGAGACCTTGGTCATTTCCAACAGTCCTGCAATGGATGGTCATTTTGGTTATTATTTGGAAAATTATGAAGTATTTTCAATACCTTATCTCACGTTGTTCTGGCGTAGTAGATTTTCACTCCCCTAACCATCCTTTGACGTTAGCTTTTATCCTTAATTGTCGACGGAAGATGACCATGATGATCGTCCATAGATTGTTTCAGTATTTATTTTGCGATGTTCTTGTAGTCTGTTCAATGGATATCGATTAATTGGAAATTGCTCTTTTAATTTGTTCATATGTTCCTTCAATTTTTTTCATCTCTTCCATGACTCGTTCATTTATGTTATGAAGTCATTTTTGATTCGTCCTACTTGGTCGCTGAATATCTGAATAAAATCCCAGATGTCCTTAATTTCGCCCCTTCATCTCTTCCATGATTCGTTCATTTATGTTATGAAGTCATTTTGGATTCATCCTACTTGGTCGCTGAATATCTGCATATAATCCCAGATGTCCCTAATTTCGCCTCTTCGCCTACATATCTTACATCATATATCCTACCTTGTTGGACTTATTCTGTCGTTTCCCACTTTAAACCTTGGGTAACTTCCTTTAGTTAACTGACTATCCTTTTGTCTGACTATCCTGTTTCTTTTGGCCGTTCCTCCTCTGTGTATCTTGTTCCGGAAGATTTTTTTTGAAACTCTACTCTTCATTTCCCCATTTTGTATTGTTATATCAGTTCTTGTTTTTGTAATTGCTTCAGTTTTTCTTTGCTTTTGCGTTATTTCCTTCTCAAATTACAGCTGAACACCATACTTCAACTACTCTTTAAAATTATTTCACTCGTTCACTCGTCGCTTTCTCTTGGGACTAATTTCCGAACTGATCTGCCTGATTTCTGAAACAGCTTGTAATAGATGCCATATTTGAATGCTCTGGTGAATAATTCGAATCATATTAGGGGACCAACATTCTTTAAAACTTTAAGGTTATTTAAAGAATTGCACTTTCTAATTTTAGGGTGTTTAGGGTCGAACTGTCATTTGGAAATTGAAACTTCCATGAGATGATTTGTTTGACAAATTAACCAATGTTCATGAAACCCAATAATTTATAAGATGAGGTCGATTTTCCAATCGTTATTTGAGTATGCTGTAACATTAAGTAATGCAAATTAATTATGTACAGAGAAAACTAATAATGAGCCTTAATTGGATTCGTGTAATAACGAACTGAAGAATGAAATTTTCTGATTTTGTATAGGTGCATTCTTGAATGAATTTTAATTCGCCTCAGGAAATATAATGAGCAACATTATTAGCAAAATAATTGGTCGGTGAGGAATTCGTTTCTTCAGATTATGCACCGTATTTCATCGATTCATTTTTCATTACACTATCACAGACCATCATCATATCGAATAAAGCTTTCAATGTTGACTGTTGACACTTTTCTACAAATATTATCGCAAATAACTTTTTGAATGTTCGAATGTATCAGAAATATAATTTTTCAATATACGACTTACTGTCAATCGCAAAAAATAATATCATAACAATTATATTAACTTTTCACAACCAATTGTGTACTGTTGAAATTTTTTATTTTATACTGTGCTTGTTGACAAAAATATTCCAGAAAAATGCTCAAACACAACCATTCCTATTTTCAAATAGTTATCCACGCCATACTTGAATATGAAAAAAGACCATCTTGAAAAGTTCTACAAATCCTGAAATTTTGACAAGGCTACCTGCAAAGAGACCGGAACAACATTCATAAAACCATTTTTCCATTTTACCCAAATATTGTTTTCCATGAGAAAAAAGCTTATGGCTTTTGGGAAACTTCCCGAAGAGGATAGAAAGCAATCCCGTTCGAAACATCACGAAAATGTGAAGATCATGCATAGAAGTTACTTTCATACACAAACTGGAAGAAAACGCCCTTTCGAAACAGCTACTTTGATATAAACATTGAATTGCACGAAAGATAAAATACCTTTGCACAACTGCTTCCATAGCAACATTAAATTATACGAAAATCACTTTTTCCTATTCAGTTTCTACTCCGAACGTTCGTTATAGAATTGAATCAGATATCATATATCAGTATAATAGAGATACGATATGAACTTTATCTCAGATGGAACCCTGTCATCGAAGGCGGACATCGAAGTTTCGGGATAAAATACTTGTCTTCCTCATCAGCACCGTTTTAGGAACATTATGAGATGAAGCTCTCATTTTATTCATAGCATCACGACTTTATGTCTTGGATGAGTTAAACCTATTCATATCTCGATGACAGTACCCAAATACATTCATATACTTATTTGATTCAATCCTAGCCATAGAAATCTGATTTGAGTAGAAATACCCTTTTCAATTCAAATGTTTTTTCAATGTTTCAACGAAGTTGCCAGTGTTTGAAATAGAAACTATTCAATAATGTTATTTGCAATGAGTTTATCTACTGAATCCCGTTGAATCCTGCCAATAATTTTGGGGTTGTGAGTGACATGTCAAAGTAATCATTCTAGAAATGTCACATAATTCGAATTCAGAAAATCCACTAACTCTCCTTTGACATATTAATGACTTGAAATGTTCAATTAATTCCACGATGGTTTAAGGAAAATAACTGATGAACGATATCGCTGAGAGTTGCGAATAGGTCTGTTAACCTAATAAATAGTACTTGAAATGAGTGATTATTACTACATTGTTCGTTAGGGCTTCAGCTGTTTCAAGATTCCTTCAATCAGTTGCTGTAGGAAGACGATTTTCATCTGAAAATGAAGCGTTATTATAATTACAAACTTTTCAACAAGCAGATTATTGATTATCTTCAGCGATGAGGCCCATTCCTGGATTAATGTTTACGTGAACGAAAAGAATTGTCGAATTTCGGACAATACCATTCCACATGAGATCCAAGAGTGTCCAATGAATCCCGAAAAAGTCACTGTTTGGCGTGGATTTTAGGCTAGCAGCGTCATCAGTCCATATTTCTTCGAGAACGACATTGGCCAGGCCATAACTGTCAACGTCAATTACCTTTCGACAGCGTTTAGTCATCATCTGGTCCTGATGAAGTGCCCGTCATCTTCAACATCTTGAGCGATCATCGGAAAGAATGTTCAACAGGCGACCCTTTATCGTATGTCACCCATATCTGGAATAACGCAATCGATGGAATATCATGGAAAGTCAAGCGCTTGATATTTCAAAGGCCTTTGACCGTGTGTGCCATGAGGGTTTGCTGTCTAAACTTCGAAGTTACGGCTTGTCGGGTCATTTTTGTGTATGGCTCTTCAGCTATCTGAAAGAATGTTCCCTACAAGTGGCTGTCGATGGATATCTCTCGAATACTTTTATCATCAACGCTGGTGTTTCCCAGAGATCCATATTGTCTCCAATCCTCTTTTTATTGTATATCAACAAAAATTCAATTTATTGCTTTGCTGACGACAGCACATTTGTCTCGTTATTACATTTGGATCCAGGACATCGGCTCCGGAAGCATATCTTCACCGGCAGCAGGAGGTTGAATATCTAGTCTAATGAACAAGTTCAAAAACATGAAAAATAGAGATAAAGGTCCTAAAAATATGAACGATACCTCATTCGATTCGGAATCAATTGCAAAATTGCAACTGTTAATAACGAAATAAGATTAAAAAAAATGGTATTTAGTTTTTCGTTAATGACTCAAAAAATATTAATATTTAAGCAATTTTGAAAGAATCTTGTTAAAGAGCAGGAAATTTCCGATAAAAAAGTCCCGACTTCCGAAA